TTTTTTTTTGTATATCAGATTTTTATATTCATTTATTTTATATTAAAATATTTAATTTGTTTAATGATTCATGGATACATTTGCATTATCAAAGCCTAATTATGATGTTAAAAGACTCTAAAATTTGCTATTTTATGTATTTTCCTTAAAATTAGCCTGCATTAAGAGTAGTTGTTTTACTTTATCATGCTTTGAACTTAATATATTTTGTGAACATATCAACCTCAAAACTGTATTATCAGTGCATATAATACAGTCATCTATTTTTGTTGCAATATTTACTATTTTATTGGAAATCTACTATCCTGTCCGATGTCAAATTTCAAGCACTTTTAAACTGTCATTTTATGCCATTTTATTGACGTTGAATTTACAATGTATTTGTATTTGTGCGAAATAAAAACAAATCTTCCATTATGTTCCATAAGAATTCCATTCCTTAAAATTGAAGATACTTTTTTAATAAAAGTACAAAATATTCATAAATCAACTATGAATGTATCAAATGCTAATACACAGTTAACACTTAAAAATGTTCAAATTAGTGAAAGAGAAAATAAATATGGTCGTGAAGTATATTTTACTAAAACAAATATGATATGAATTTAGCAAACGCAGGCAAGTTGTTTTTAAAATCTTTCGTATCCTTAAAAAGTGCTATAATTTTGTATGCACTGGGCTTTATATTGACGTCAAGTTAGAAGAACTATCTTCTGTTACTTCTCCACTTGAAATTTTGATTATCCTGAAATATATTAAAAGTAAGACATTAGCTTTTTATATTGAACAGACGGATACATAATAAAGAACGTAGAAAAACATTTTGAGATTCATTGAAAGATTTCAGCAATATAAGAGTCTTATTGTAAATGTCATAAAGAACTTATTTTTGCGCATAAATGTGAGTCGAATGCGAATTCAGCAATGGGTTCAAGATTTTCGCCTGTATACGAAATTGTATGCTCAAGAAAAAGTTTAATTACGCATTTTTCCAATGACTCCATATTATGCAGTTTAAAAAAACTGCAGCAGTTAAAAGAAGATTATATTTTCAGGTATCTTTACATTACATGGTGTCTTAATGAAGCGGTTTCCAAGAGCTTCAGTTAGCGGATCCTTTTTTTTTAGAATCAAAGGCTTACTCTGTATCTTACAAGCTAATGGTGTTTAAGAATAATGTTAGGGAGAAGATAAAGAGATAATTAGTAAATGAACGCGTAAAAGAGCATATCTAAACAGCATCAAAATTTCCATGCAAAGAAATTATTTTACAAAAATTTATAATCTACTCTAATATCTTAGTTTCTGAACTACGAGCCTATACCCATAGTTTTAAACATATTATTGGTGGGAGCAGCAATAAAAAACATCCATATAATAAACTCATATTTTTTAGTTAATCATTATATCCAACTCAATTAAAATACATATTCGTTCAATATTTGCTATGAAAATTTTTTATTATTCTTAACAGAAAACAATTTCAGTTTCAATTTTATAATTAGAGTGCACCGTATTGCAAGAGTAGGCCTAAATTAATACATAACTCAAAATAATACATAAACATTTAATGATATACTACATATGATTGCAATTTTCGACATAGCTCTCTTTTTTAAGTTCAGTTGATGACAATTGGAAGCGAACATCTGGTTCTGTATTTAAGCTATTTTTGTAGCTGTATAGGCGGAGAACTTTGCTTTACAGAGACAGAGATATGTAGTTGAGAAAAGCAGAAATAAGAAACACTAGTTTTGCTTTTTCTGATAAGATTTTGAATTTAATTTGTAAACATATCCAAAAGTTCAGCAGTCTTTGGCGCTGAAACGCGAATTTTAGTTCGCTGTGAAATGCCAAGTCTATAAAGATTTCGCACTCTGCTGAATTTAACCTCAGTGGCTTTGTGTTCACGCTGAACATATAAAGAACTCACTAAAGGTCATTAGGCACCTTATTTTTAATTGTTCAAAATAATATTCATCATTGTTTGCGAAAATATTCTCCCGTGTGATCAATCTGAGGTATGCCTGAATTTCATGATAATGTACTGGATGAATTTGAAGGTGAGGCTTCTTCATTTATTTGAATATAATATGTGATATTGAAACTTTTTCTCGCTCTTTGCGCAACTTATTTGCTCGCTCTTTCTTTTCTTCATTTATCTAAATAGCTGCTCTCTCTCTTCTCTGTTTCAATAATTTTTTTTTCGTTGACTCATTTTAAAATTTTATTAATTTCAGTGAAACAGAATTTACAAAATGTACAACCATTCACGACCACTTCCAACAAGCAACTGATGCACGGCCACTCATTGTGCAAGCGCACAATGTATGACGTCATCAAAATTCCCGAGAATTTTTTAAAATTTGTTTCTCAGCTGTGGCTAAACCGTTTCTGAATTTCTTTCTTAGTTGTGGCTGAATTCCAAATTTGAAAATTTATTTTGTATTTTGTAGGGTACACCTTCGACTATCAAATGAAACATAAACCAACTCTCTATGTTTTGTAGTTACGGAGATTTAAGCGTTTGCATAACCCGCAAAAAGCATCATAATTTTTTCTTTCCACAAATCACCATAGAGGAACGTAAGTCTACGTTAAATATAATGAAAGGATACATATCGTGGGTTCTAATCAGAACGTGGGTAATGTACAGGATGTATAAAATGCAACATATATTATCATACGCAGATGTCATATCAATATATCTACGAGACAGGAAAAACTATGCTGCTTTTTGCGGGTTATGAAAACTTACATGTTTGTAGGAAACTAGAGAAGTTTAATAGATTTATGAAATAAGCTCCAGACTCAACGAATGGAATTTCTATTCCTTGCTGTGCTTTCTTTGCTACATCACGATGGGCATTTTGTGCAATTGTGTAGCGAGGTAACTATTATTCAGAGTATTATTGAAACTGCAGTTAAACATACCGCTAGAGCGCTATTAAAGTCAGTCTTTTGTAGTTCTCTAGGTGACTCCTGGCACTCGTCCTTTTTTTTTAAGGGCCGGACATGTAATGGCTAAATACTGGTCAGCAAACAGCCCCGCCAGCCTTTTGAAAGTTTCTACTTTCATATCATTTTTAAGGAACTCTTCAAAAATTTAATCTGAAGTAACAATAAACTTAGACATTTGAAAGATTTTTTGCAGAATAAAATGTATAGTATTTTTAAAAACTCCTTGTTATTGTTTTTATTATCAATAATTTTTTTTTTTTTTTTTTTTTTTTTTTTGTTTGTAAAACTATTAAATTTCACAGATTTGCAAACAAGGACTCAACAAATTTCGGGCATTGAAATAATCATCCCCCCATACGAAAAGTAAACTCGATCTTTACATACGAAAACTAAGACAAGCTAGCTTAATTAATTTGTTTATCTTTGATATGCTGTTTTGCTTACCTGCCGTTATGTTCTGAAATCTGGTGGCTGCAGAATTTAAGTATTGTGCTGTTTTGAAATACATTTTCTCCATTTTTTTCATAAGCTTCAGATTCATCAAGGATTACAATTTTGGGTCTTTTAAGCACGCATCTTGCAATCGAAAGTAAATTTTTCTTTTCATTGCTGAAAATGAAAAATAAGGAATTATGAATGAATACAAATATATGTACGTAATAGGATTGTAATAAGAACCCAATTACTTTTTTAATATTATGTACATATTAAACTTAAGACATTTACTATGTAATAATAATAATTACAATGTAATAATAAAAATTACAATGTAATAATAATAATTACAATGTAATAATAATAATAATTACAATGCAATAATAATATAATTATTATTTTGTCAAAACTAAAAACTATCACTTAATGTCTTCCTACTTCTGAAGATTACAGTTAATTAGGTATATCTTTCCTCCTTTTCGCATGCCATTGTGGTGCAACTGGAAGCATACTAGACGCGTATTCGAGACGGCTGGAGTTTGAGTCCCACCTAAGGCATTGCACATTTTTCATCCCTCCTGCTTCCTGCTTCAAAATAACCTAATAAATCTACAAATGGTGCTCGAACTAAAAGGTAGTGGACGATAATTCTTCACCACTAGGATTTGGCGATTGGGACTCCTAATCTCCAGTCGCCCTTTAAAAGGGGGGTATATAAGGTATTTTATCTCTCGTTTCCGCATGCCTTCGCTGTGTAATTGGAAGCATACTCGACTCGTATTTGAGGGGTCCGGAGTTCGAGTCCCGACGAGGACAATGCACGTTTTTCACCCTTCCTGCTTAGAAAAAAATGACTTTGCAACAAGTTATCTTTTTCAAATCTGGAATTTTGTTATTTTCTAAGAATATTTTGTTGCGATTTTGTACCCCTCGAACTAATATGAAAATGCTGCAATGATAGTATTGTCATAGCATTTCTGACTAAACATAGACGGAAAGATGAAATTCTGTATTTAAATCTTACTCAATCTACTAAAAAACTTCATTTTACAGAGCGCAACTTATTGAACAAACGTTAGGGGCTATCTTTCATGATAGCAAATATTTAATTTTGCTTACATGATTATAACGCATTTTCGTACTCATTTGTTCATTGGGAGATAATGATATCTTAGATTATTTTTACAGAAATAAGTAACAATTCAATTCAAAGAAAATTATGTATCCATGATTGAGTAGAAAGAATTACTAAAACTGGTAATTTCATCGAAGCTTTTGTTTTCTGACAAAAGGGCTATCTGTATCAGAATTCTTTAGTTTTTCAAACCATCGGTATGACAAATAATGAGCATGCTTTCTTTCTCTCCAAGCAATATCGTTCAAGCCAGATAATCCTCACGTTATTTGGGATAGAATTTACTTGCGTACCCCTATTTGCAAACTGCTGTTCAACCTACAGCCCTTTATATATGCCAAATTGCAAACATACCTCATCTTCCTTTCAACTGAACTATCAAGACTTGAAATATGTGCCTTCAAATCAGCAATCTCTAAAGCGGACCATATCTCTTCATCTTTGAATTCTTGATAAGGATCCAAGTTCTGTCTCACTGAACCATTGAAAATTAGAGTATCCTGCAGCGAAACGTTTTATTTAGATATAGTGATTGAATATTATTTTTCTCTAATCATATCATTATCTCAACATTTCACATAGCATGAAAGAAACTGATAAAAATAATTTTGATCTTACTTGTGGTATGATGGCCAATCTAGATCTCAAATCTCGTAGACCTATTTTACTGATGTCAATATTATCTATTATGATTTCACCACCTGAAGGCTCGATAAATCGAAAAAGGGAGTATAATAAAGTGTGCATTCCAGAATCTTCTTTACCAATTATTGCGACCTAAAAGGAATAATTAATAATCAGATTTGTTACACGTTAGCAGCTACGCTATAAATGATATATAATAATTAAATTTTTGAATACTATATGTTCCAGTCAGATTTTTCAGAAATTTAACATTAGTTTACTTTTTCACCAGGCTTGATGTCGATGCTTATGTTGTGAAGAACAGGGTACAGTCCTTCTCCATATGCTGTACTGAGATTCTGAATATGTACTAGACCTGAATCTGGCCATGAATTTGGGGGAGCATTTATTGGATCCTCCCATTCGGACTAAGCAAAAGAAAATAATTTCTTATAAATATAAAGCAAAAAGACTGTAAAAATGTAAAAGCTGATAGAATACCTCAGTTATACAAATATGAAATACAGTTACAGCCAGAATTTAGTTTTACAATTCAAATGTAACTAAAAAGTGCATTGCGAAAGAGAAGACCGTATTTAAAATATAAAGGCATTTCTCTAATTTCTGCAACATTTCGTTGCATTAGTGATATTGTAACTCTTAATTTAAAAGTACGTGATCAGGGATCTTGATCTAATAGCCACTGTTACCTACGGATTTGTCAAGGCTAGTTATGATTTGCATTAAAATAAAGAAATTATAAAATAACTTAAAATTAATTAATTAAAAATTTTTAATATCGCAGCATTAATCAACTTAAACGGAAAGAAGGAAAGATAATTTACGGAAAGAAATTTCTTTATTTGCAATAAAATTCTCAACAGGCCAAACGTCTTTGACAATTAGAGAAAGTTTGATTGATTATCGCAAGTAGATATGTGAAATTTCCTCAAGGAAATTTAGCATTAATTTCGTCTTAATCCAAGCCAGGATCTCAGAGTCGTTACCAATGACAAATTGCGATTAATCTTACTTCGGTGACAAACTTTTCGGTCATGAGTCAACGAAGTTTGGGATTTAGCAACAGCATGACTTGTAGTTAAGGAACCTCACGTAATTAAAATTTGAACAAACTGCTTCTGGACTGGACGAATTGTGGTGATAAGAGTCAAGAACATATACAGAGTGAGGGTTAAAAATTTAATTGGTTGCGAAATTACAACAATTGCTTTAACCTAGAATTGTCTGTACTTTTTAGCACTTTGATGAACTGAAAATTGTCAACAAATAAATGGCTCCAGCCTTAAAAGACTTTTGAATTAACTACTCATTGCAGTCATTTTGAAAAGCTTGCAATCTTTCTTTTCCTTTAGTATTACTGACTACATCGAAATAAAACATTATTGTAAAATTTTTGTGTAACTAACTAATTTTCTTTTAAAGCAGTTTTAATTTTCCTTTTCTTTGTAACCCAAAAGAGGCAAATTTAACAACAGTTTAAGAATACGCCGAGTCGACATGGATATGCAGTTTTGACTAGCCGCTGGTGACTTATAACCAGTTTAGATATTCTAATGCCAATGCGCGTAGCTAGAACCTATCTACTCCCAAAACGTTAGAGAGGGAAACGATGGAAGTGAAAACCTTTAATTTATTTTATCATATATTGTAAAGAACTTAATACAGAAGAAGCTTAATACAGAAATTAGAATTAGAAAGAACCTAATATAGAAGATTATACAGTTTGACTTGCTTTGGTAGCATAAACTAGATTTAAATTTCTAATGGACAATTAAATTTCTAATTTAAATTTCTAATGGTTATTTTACAAAAAGTTATTTTACAAAAGCGAATTATCGCTGTGTCTGAAATTAGCAATAAAACGTTGGAAAAGTTTTAGAATCATCTTTTTATTTAAACACAAATTTTGAACATAAATGCACTTCTGCTTACAGCCTCAACCATCACTTCTGACGATGTAACTAAAATAACAGTCAAATTCAAATTTAAAACGGAGACTATTAGTCAGAGACTACACAATTCAGTTTAATTCGAAGCTGGCTCAGATAACTGGAGTATCAGTTTAAATGTCGGCAGCAAATAACGCAAAGCCGAAAAATTACAATCTTACCAGAGCTGACGGTATTACACAATGTTGCCCACGAAGGACAGAAACACGCTCTGTCTAACAAACCGAAATACCTTAGCTTAAATACGCTCCAACTCATTTACATTTCTGGTGAGGAAACGGAAAGGAGAAGTTGCAGTAAAGTCTGAAATTAGAAATAACTAGTTAATTTAAATAACGAATGCTATAAAATTTTCAATGCTTTCAATATGTAGATCATATTGCCAGTCTTTCTGTATCACAGTTTCATTTGAAAATTTATTATATTTGTTAAATTAAGCATCAGTTTGAGTTATTTAGGTAGTAATGTGAGAAGTTTTAATTATAAGTCTAACTTAAAAATTATGCAAAACATTGACACGAATTAACAGAGCTTAGTTTTAAAACTTAATAGGCAGATTCAAAGTATGTTTACCTCCTGCTTAATTTCTGAAAATGCCTTTAATCTATCAAAAGCCAGCATGTCGACATTGAGCACCGAACTCATATAAACTAGCAAAACAAGGTACTCGGCTATCTAAAAAATAGTAAAATTGTATTAATTTTCTCTTCAAAATAAGTTATTGTAATCATTTGAATTATCGTTTAACTTCTGAAGGCATACCTGCATAGAGAACACAATAACTAATCCAGAAAATCCATCTTCTTTGTTTCCTAATGTTAACACCACTGTCGTTGTGATGAGTACGAAGACAGCTCCAATGATATTCACAGTGCAACTTAACCACCTAATTAAAGGCATCAGTTTAAACAGAAGAATAAAATATCGCTGTTTGATCTGTTTATGATGAGTAAGGCTAACTTGAACCTACCTTGATACCAAAAAGAAAAGAAAAAGGCAGTTGTTATGAGTGTTTAGTTTTGCGTTAAAACGGATGAGAAAATGGAAACTAGCTTGAGATGCTCGAATGTTTGATACTCCTTGCAACGTATCCTCTAACAAATCTGACAGTGGACAACAGGTAGCAGAAGTCAAGTACTGCAGTTGTTGCCAGGCATTTAGATATAATTTCTGAAATAGAATAAAAAAAATATAACGGAAGAAATTGCCTTGACTTTGAACTGAGTTTTTTGATTAAATTTAACCTAAATAAAGTTTAGATTGAGTTTAATAAAAAAAAAAAATTCTCTGAGGGCATTACCAGTGTACGTCGAAAACATCTCGGACGAAAACAATATGGCGATAACAAATCAATAAGGAAATCTCGTAGTACAAAACATCGTAGGAGAAAAGAAAGCAAAGAAGAACATATCGCAGCTCTAAAACATCGTGGTATAAAACATCGTCGTCGAAAATATCATGCTAAAATTTAAAGCGCCTACAAATCATCGCATGATGATAACATCGCAGATATGTGTTTTTCAGGCTTTAAAAGTTGTAAATGCATATTCGCATGATGATGTGCGAGAGCAAACAGGAATGAGGAATATTTTTATTTTTGTATTTCATATTTTTTTATGTATAAAAAATTTAATGCTACTTACAGCAGTTAATAAAATGTAAAACCCTCTACTGAAATATTACGTAGTTAACATGTTTCGTCATAGCAAAAAAATCGACATCCAAATGATTACCTACATGTTGTAAATGAAAATGTTAATGACACTTAGGAAAGGACCCCCCCAAAAAAAAACAATAAATAAGATATAATTTTTGTTATAAGAATATCAGATTAAAAAGATTAAAAAAAGTTATTTTACAATTTGATAATTAACTAAGCAACTCTAATAGAGGTAACTTTATAAGGAGTTTCTCCAGAATTCCTAGCGTGCCTTCGTGGTGTAGTGGTTCTGCACGTAGGGCCGATATTCCAGAGGTCCGTGGCTCGATTTTCGCGAAGACGACTGCTAATTTTTCATCTTGCCTGCTTCCTAAAAATATCTAATGTCTCTACATTGAAGCCCGAACTAAACGGGTGTTGGATGATGATTCTCCTCACCTAGAGTTTAGCCATTGGGTCCCATAAAATCCCCAGTCGCCCTTTAAAAAGGGGATTATATAAGGTATTTATCCCGCCTTCCTAGCGTGCCTTCGTGGTGTAGTTATTCTGCACGCTGGGCCGGTATTCCAGAGGTCCGTGGTTCGATTCCCGGCGAAGACGATTGCTAAGTTTTAATCTTGCATGCTTCCAAAAAATACCTAATGTCTCTACAACTTCATTTACTTTTTCCTTTTTTTAATCATTTTTAGATTATATTTTTTATGAAAATTTATCATTAAATTGACATTGATCATATCCTTATAAAGGAGATTAATTAATTAATGGCCTTTGTTAGTTAATCATATAAGTTAAAAATTTTATTAACTGCTATAAGTAGCATTAATTTTCTACTCATTTGAAGCTTTTGAATGCTTAATTATCTTTCTTACGTTTCCACCAAAAATTATTAATTAATACAAAAATATGAAATATTAAAGTCAAACTATTATTTCGTGGTTTCACAAATCAGTATGCAAATATGCATTTACAACTTTTAAAGCCTGAAAAACACATTATGTGACGTTATTGTCATGCGATGATTTTTTTACCACGATATTTTCAACGACCATGTTTTTAAACTGCGAAGTTTTTGAACTGCTTCATTTTTGACGATGTTTCAGAACTGTCTTGTTTTCTTCTTGCTCTCTATTTTCCCTCGATGATTTTTTGTACGATAAAAGGTGTTCGCCTTGCATTGTTTTCTCCGCGACGTTTTCATCCGTGATGTTTTCGTATGTAACCGTATTGACGATTACAAGATAAAATAAGTTATATTTTAGGTATGTTAAGAATTTAATGTTTACCATTTCAACCCTGATTATCTCACATCATTGACTGAAACTGATTATTACTGCTAAGTTTATATTTTTAAAGGATTGTGCATACCTAAAAATAAAAAACAAAGGAGTAAGGTAAAATAATATAAAATAAGCTTGCTCGTTTAATAGAACCATGTCTAAACTATTAAAGTCTCCTTTTTAAATTTTTTTATAAGAGTTCGAATATGAATTGAATTTTTGTAATTCAAGTCTTCCTCGTTTCATTGAAATATTTACATATTCTATACGGATAGCTGGCTAGAAATACTCAAATAATTGTTTGTAGTAAATTGATAAAGTGAATGTTATATATCTTTAAAATTTTATGTAATTCATAATACTATTTTAATAGTCTGCGGTTCTGAGAATTCTAAAATCCTACGACTTATCTAGTTTTCCCTTTTTTTTTATCGATGAGCATAATTTTATGAGATGTTGAAAAAAAGCACATTTGAAGGCAAAGTAAATATTGCCGATTTTTTTATAAGAACTCTCGATGATAATTTGATAAGAATAAAAAGAACAAAGAGAGTAAACATTACTATCAGAAATTATCAGCTTGAAACAAAACTCTTCACAGAAAATACGGAAATGTAAATAAAAATCCGCGCAATGATAGTACATGGTGTCTGCAGATGAACTTTGCCAATAAACAAGAAAATCTAACAGACGTATTTGACGCGAATTTGATCTCAATGACATGGTTCCAATATTTTCTTTAAATACCTGTATTTTATGCCATTTATAACTTGTCCCTTTAGTTCTAGCGATGTTTATTCTTCCATTATGTCCAATGTGAACTGTATCCTTTATTCTGAATGATGATTTAATTTACAAAAGCACATAAACTTATTCTCCAAATTAAATTACCTTAAAATGTGAGTAAATTGATAATAGCAGTTTTCTTTTAATCATGAGTTACGCCTTCTTCCTGTGTTTTTTTAACTGCCCCAGGTTTAATCGTGATTTTGAGTCCCAGGTTAATCGGGAGTTGATTGTACAACAAAAATGTAAAAAAAAAATAAAAATAAATCCCTATTGTATAAAGAAAACAGGATCCCAAAATAATCTAGTTATATTATAAAAGGGAACTGAAAGAAATCAAAACTTACTGCTAAATATCAAGACTGCATTAAATATCAAGAATATGAACTATTTTATTTAAATGACGATCCTATATGTTAAATTGGCACATGGGATACTCCCCTGAAATAAAATATTGTAACGGATTTTGTATTTAATTAGTTAATGTTAGTAGAATTATAAATAAAATTGTTTTATTCCCCGTTCAATGCAGCGCGGGACGAATATTAAAAGAAAGCTAAGCCGTAAAATTAAAAATACAAGAGCGCGTACATTTAACATTTAATAAATAAATACTCTCTGACATTCGGGAATATACCAGAAAATTCTCGACGCATTTTAAAAAAAAGCTGATATAAGTGGCAGGAAAAACCTATCAATTCGTATAGTATTTAGTAGTTGTTGTTTAAAGAGTTTGTTTAGAAAACTGCTCTTGTTGACTGTAGCGAATCGCGGATTAGGGCTTTCTCTTATCTGTTTTGAATTAAAGTTCTCTGACCGTTGAATAGTTAAAGATAACTACTTTGAGATATGTAATACTGCACAAAATTCGGAGGAAATTTAAGCATTTTTATGTGATAATATACATTTGTAATTTCATCGACTTGTGCATTCAATTCAACGAACCTAAATTACAATATTGTAAGATTCATACCAAAGCAATATAAAGGGAATGTTCTGTAACAACAACCAAAGATAAAAAAAAAAAAAAAGTGAACCCCCTAGGCTTAGTTCCATACTCAAAGCAAAACTCGCTAAGGTGAAAAGACACAGGTCTTTCGTAGATAATTTTCTTTAAAGAATTAAAGAAACAGCCTTCTGCAGTGCGTAGATAAAATTGAAATTTACCTGTATTACAAGAAAGCCAAATACTAAAGGTATTATAAGTATGGATAGGATAGGTGACGCAATGAATATCGGGATCAGAATAACAGGGACTTTAAGAGCTGTCAGGAGCCATTTATACAACGCCATAGGTATATTCTCGTCTACATCATGAAGGTCTTCATCAAAACTGAAAATAAAATTATATGTATAGTTTTAAAATTGGAATTTTAATCAAAATTGATTATAAATTATTCATGTTAAACCATGGTTAATATATAGGAAATGAAATATGAAATTACCTTTCAATGAAATTTTGATATGGCGTTGTTTCAAATACGATCTGTGGAGCACGCATTATTCGGGTAATTAACCATGTATGAAGCTTTTCAGCTGAATTTGTGAAGCCAAAAAGGGGGCCCCATACAAAAGATAACCACAGAAAATCACAGATAAAACTGTTTCAAACAAAATACATACTTTAGTTTCCATTCAATAAATATTTCATAAAATATTATCTTTGTTTTATAGAATGTTATCATAATAAAATGCACGTGGTCTGAAAAAAATGATTAAGGAGATTGGCGTCATTTAAGTGCGAGTAAATTCTAGTAATTCGTCTTAGCCTCTTACTTGCTGTCATTGCAATTTCTTTCTATGAGAGTTAAAGGTTATAGTCAGACGGTACCTGCATGTACAAAATTGGATGCCTACTCGGCACGAAAAAGAGCTATTAACTATGATCCAAAATTATTAAATTAGTATTTCCACATGAGACTTTTTCAAAATGGCGTATGAGAGTTTCCACATTTTGATTTGATTATCCACAGATGCAGGTGCTGTGACTTCGATTTAAGTTGTGAGTATTTTCAGACAGATAAAATTGTTTTATTATTTCGGTTTCCAATTCATTTCAAACCTTTTTGAATTAATAGATAAAGCTCGAAAAATATGTAAAAATTGAGCGAGTGTGATAAGCCCAAGAGATTGCTGTTCCTGAAGAGACTGCTTCTACATGAAGAAATTTTTTCCCAAATTGCAAATTTTGCTATTGTAAGGGAGGACATTAGTTTTATTTCGGATACAGAAATAAGAAAAATCAGTGATGCCTTCTCCGGATTCGAACTCGTAGCTAGCGGACGGGTTCCAGTTGCAACATGAAGGATACGCCGTACAGAAGGAGAAAATTCCTCATTTTCTCCCATTCACAGTATGATAGAAAAAGAGGGGACACAGTGACTAAATTCGGTAGTGATAGCTATCGTCCACCAATATTAGTCGGCTTGACAGCTCATTTGTAGATTTTTTTGGATTAAAGTCACAATGCAAAATCAGTATGTTGTCTCCGATATTCAAATTCCCGATATCTCGATTGGTAGTAATCTGATGGCTTTCAAATCCGAGAGAAAAAGCATGAAAGTACGCGGAGAAACAAATTCCTTATAACAATATTTTGCTTTTTTGAGGCAAGGGAGGACTTATAGAGTAGTAAGACGTTAGATGATAATTCAATGCCAATTTTTACTAAACTGCCTAGAAGGAATGATTGCATTAATGACAGAAATTTGGTGGCAATGAAGGTATACGGAGCTTATTTACCTGAGAGTATTTGCAATTAAACGTCATAAGGCAGTTACAAATTGCCTATTACTCATCATTAACACATCGAAAGAGATATGGTAACGGCAGCTTGTGAAGTCTTTCAGCTCTAATATTGTGTTCTGAAAACTTGAGGCACCTTTATAAGAAAAACATTAATATCTCTCTCTTTCCCTCATCCCTCGTTGTGTTTTTTTTTTTTTTTTTTTTTTTTTTTGTGTTGAGAGAGATATAATGTTTTCTGTATAAAGGGCCGCAGTTTTCAGAACACAATATTAGAGCTGAAAGACTCACAGGCTGCCGTTACCAGTATCTCTTTCGATGGTTATGATTCTATAGGCAATTTGTACGCATTATACGTTGTATTCAGAATAATTCAGTAAATAGCCCTATACTTGCTTGCAACCAAAATTTCTTCATTTCAACATCCTTCTAGCAGTGAGTAAAAATTGGCATTGAATTATCATCTAACGTTTTACTCTCTAATAAGCCTAACTGCCTCAAAAAGCAAAATATTTATAAGGAATTTGTTTCCCGTACTCATGCTTTTCTATCGGAGTGAATGAAAGCAATACTACTACAATCGAGATATCTGGAATTTGAATATCGGAGACAACCTACTGATTTTTCAGTGACTTTATCCAAAAAAATCTAAAAGACTGTAACACCGAATAATATTTGGTGGACGATAGCTCACACTACTGAATTTAGTCACTGTGTCCTCTTTTCTAGTCATACGTGAATGGGAGAAAATGTAAGGATTTTCTCATTCTGTACGGCGTTTTCATGGTGCAACGGAAGCCCTCCGCTAGCTCGAGTTCGAATCCGGAGAAGGGCTCACTGATTTTTCGTTTTCTTATCAGAAATAAACTAATGTCTCTACGAAGTAGCAAATTTGCCAATTTGGGAAAAATTATTCATGTAGAAATCAGTCTTCAGGGAGCAAATCTATGGGCTACACATCGCTCAATTTTACATATTCGAGCTTTATCTATTAATTCAAAAGTTTGAAATGAATTGAAACCAAATATAAACAATTTATCTGTCGAAAATACTCCACTTAAATCGAATCACAGCACCTGCATCTGTGATAATCAAATCAAAATGGGAAACTCTCATACCCATTTTGAAAAAGTCTCATGTGGAAATACTATTTAATTAATTTTGGATCATAGTATAGCTCTTCGTGCCGAGTAGGCATCAATTTTGTACATGAGTACCGTCTGACGATAACCTTTAACCTCATAGAAAGAAATTGCAAGACAGCAAGTATAGGCTAAGACGAATTACTAAATTTACTCGCACTTAAATGACGCAATCTCCTTATCAGTTTTTTTCGGACCACGTGCATTTTATTATGATAACTTCATATAAACAAAGATAATATTTTATGAAATTTGATGAATGCAACTAAAGTATTATTTGTTTGGAAAAAGTTATCTTGATTTCTGTGTGTATCTTGTAGCTGCTGCAAAATTCAGTGAAAAGCTTCTACATGGTTAATTACCCGAATATGCGGCTCCACAGATCGTATTTGAAACAACGCCTATAAATTTCATGAAGGTAATTTCATATTCATTTCCTAATATATTAACCATGGTTACAGGATAATTTCTATCAATTTTGATTAAATTCCATTTTAAAACTTACACATAATTTTATTTCGTTTTGATGAAGACCTCAGAGTAGACGAGAAATACCTATGGCGTTGTTAATGGCTCCTGACATCTTTAAAGTCCCTGTATCTGATCCCGATATTCATTGCTCACCTAATCCTATCCATATTATATACCTTTAGTATTTGGCTTTCTGTATACAGGTAAATTCATTTATCTAAGCATGCAGAAGGATGTTCATTTAATCTTAAAGAAAATATCTACGAAAGGCCTGTGTCTTTTCACCTTAGCGATTTTGCTTGAGTATGAATTAGCATAGTTTCACTTTTATCTTTTGGTTTTGTTACAGAACCTATCCCTTTATATTGCTTTGGTAGAATACTTACAAAATTGTACTTTTAGGTTCTTAGGAATGAATGCACACGTCCGAGAAAAATACCAAAATGTATATATCAATAAATGCTTAAATTTCCTCAGATTTCGGCAGTATTACAATATCTCAGGAGTTATCTTTAACTATTCAACGTTCAAGAGAACTTAATTCAAAAACGCTAGAGAAGCTAATCGCGAATGGCTACAGTCAACAAGAGCAGTTTTCTAACAAACTCTTAAACAACAACAACTAAATCTAATAACGAATTGAGAGGTTTTCCGCCCTTAAGAGCTTTTTAATGCGCGAGAATTTCTGGTATATCCCGAATCAAGAAGAGATATTTATTATTAAATTTAAATGTACGCGTCTTTGTATTTTTAATTTTTACGGCTTAGCTTTCTTTTAATTTCGTCCGGCTGATGAACGGGAAGAAAACAATTTTTATAATTTACAACATTAACTAATAAATACAAATCCGTACCATATTTTATTTCAGGGAGTATTCCCATGTGCCAAGTTAACATTAGGATCGTCTTTAATAAAATATTCATATTCTTGATATTTAATGCGTCTTGATATTTACAGTAAGTTTGATTTCTTTCAGTTCCCTTTATATATAATAGATTATTTGGGATCCTGTTTTCTTTATACAATAGGATTATTTTTTTTTTTTTTTACATTTTTGTGTACATCAACTCCGATAAAACCTGGGACTCAAAATCACGATTAAACCTGGGGCAGTTAAAAAAACAGGAAGGGGTAACTCATGATTAAAGAAAACTGCTATTATCAATTTACTCACATTTTAAGGTAATTTAATGGAGAATAAGTTATGTGCTTTTGTAAATTAATCATCATTCAGAATAAGGATACAGTTCAATTGGACATAATGGAAGATTAAACATCGCTAGAACTAAAGGGACAGTTTAAATGGCCATAAATACAGTATTTAAGAAAATATTGGACCTGTCATTGAGATCAAATTCGCGTCAATACGTGTTAGATTTTCTGTTTATTGGCAAAGTTCATCTGCAGACACCATGTATATCATTGCGCGGATTTTATTTACATTTCCGTATTTTCTGTGAAGAGTTTTGTTTCAAGCTGATAATTTCTGATAGTAAGTTTACTCTCTTGTTCTTTTTATTCTTATCAAATTATCATCGAGAGTTCTTAAAAAATCGGCAATATTTACTTTGCCTTCAAGTGCTTTTTTTCAACATTCATAAAATTATGCTCATCGATAAAAAAAAAGGGAAAACGATAAGTCGTAGGTTTTAGAATTCTCAGAACCGCAGACTATTAAAATAGTATTATGAATTACATAAAATTTTAAAGATATATAACATTCACTTTATCAATTTACTACAAATATTTGAGTATTTCTAGCCAGCTATCCGTATAGAAATGTAAATATTTCAATGAACGAGGGAAGACAATTCCAAAATTCAATTCATATTCGAACTCTTATAAAAAAAAAAAAAGGAGACTTTAATAGTTTAGACAGGTTCTATTAAACGAGCAAGCTTCTTTTATATTATTTACCTTACTCCTTTGTTTTTATTTTAGGTATGCACATCCTTTAAAAATATAACTTAGCAGTAAAATCAGTTTCAGTCATGATGTGAGATAATCAGGGTTGAAATGGTAAACATTAAATTTAAACATACCTAAAATAAACTTATTTTATCTTGTAATCGTCAATAGGTTACATACGAAAACATCACGGATGAAAAACGTCGCGGAGAAACAATGCAAGGCGAACACTTTTATCGTACAAAAAATCATCGGGGAAAATAGAGAGCAAGAAGAAAACAAGACAGTTCTGAAACATCGTCAAAAAGCAGTCAAAAACTTCGCAGTTTAAAAACATGGTCGTGAAAATATCGTGGTAAAAAAACATCGCATGACAATACTCACATAATGTGTTTTTCAGCTTTAAAAGTTGTAAATGCATATGCATATGATTTGTGAACCACGAAATAATAGTTTGACTTAATATTTCATATTTTGTATTAATTAATAATTTGGTGGAAAGTAAGAAAAGATAATAAGCATTCAAAAGCTTCATGAGTAGAAAATTAATGCACTTATAGCAGTTAATAAATTTTTAACTTATATGATTAACTAACAAAGGCCATTAATTAATTAATCTCCTTATAAGGATATGATCAATGTCCATTTAATGATAAATTTTCATAAAAAATATAATCTAAAAATGATTAAAAAAAGGAAAAGTAAATGAAGTTGTAGAGACATTAGGTATTTTTTGGAAGCATGCAAGATTAAAACTTAGCAATCGTCTTCGCCGGGAATCGAACCACGGACTCTGGATACCGGCCCAGCGTGCAGAATAACTACACCACGAAGGCACGCTAGGAAGGCGGGATAAATACCTTATATAATCCCTTTTAAAGGGCGACTGGGGATTATGGGACCCAATGGCTAAACTCTAGGTGAGGAGAATCATCATCCAACACCCGTTTAGTTCGGGCTTCAAGTAGAGACATTAGATATTTTTAGGAAGCAGGCAGATGAAAAATTAGCAGTCGTCTTCGCGAAATCGAGCCACGGCTCTGGAATATCGCCCTACGTGAGAACCACTACACCACGAAGGCACGCTAGGAATTCTGGAGAAATCCTTAAAAGTTACCTCTATTAGAGTTGCTTAGTTAATTATCAATGTAAATAACTTTTTTTAATTTTTTAATCTGATATTCTTTAACAAAATTATATCTATTTATTGTTTTTTTTTGGGGGGGGTCTTCCTAAAGTCATTAACATTTTCATTTACAACATGTAGGTAATCATTTGGATGTCGATTTTTTTGCTATGACGAAACATGTTAACTACGTAATATTTCAGTAGAGGGTTTTACATTTTATAACTGCTGTAAGTAGCATTTAAATTTTTTATACATAAAAAATAGAAATTACAAAAATAAAATATTCCTCATCCTGTTTGCTCTCGCACATCATCATGCGATATGCATTTACAACTTTAAAGCCTGAAAAAACACATATTGCGATGTTATCATCATGCGATGATTTGTAGGCGCTTTAAATTTAGCATGATATTTTCGACGACGATGTTTTATACCACGATGTTTTAGAGCTGCGATATGTTCTTCTTTGCTTTCTTTCTCCTACGATGTTTGTACTACGAGATTTCCTTATTGATTTGTTATCGCCATATTGTTTCGTCCGAGATGTTTTCGACGTACACTGGGAATGCCCTCAGAGAATTTTTTTTTTTATTAAACTCAATCTAAACTTTATTTAGGTTAAATTTAATCAAAAAACTCAGTTCAAAGTCAAGGCAATTTCTTCCGTTATATTTTTTTTATTCTATTTCAGAAATTATATCTAAATGCCTGGCAACAACTGCAGTACTTGACTTCTGCTACCTGTTGTCCATGTCAGATTTGTTAGAGGATACGTTGCAAGGAGTATCAAACATTCGAGCATCTCAAGCTAGTTTCCATTTTCTCATCCGTTTTAACGCAAAACTAAACACTCATAACAACTGCCTTTTTCTTTTCTTTTGGTATCAGGTAGGTTCAAGTTAGCCTTACTCATCATAAACAGATCAAAAACAGCGATATTTTATTCTTCTGTTAAACTGATGCCTTTAATTAGGTGGTTAAGTTGCACTGTGAATATCATTGGAGCTGTCTTCGTACTCATCACAACGACAGTGGTGTTAACATTAGGAAAAAAAGAAGATGGATTTTCTGGATTAGTTATTGTGTTCTCTATGCAGGTATGCCTTCAGAAGTTAAACGATAATTCAAATGATTACAATAACTTATTTTGAAGAGAAAATTAATACAATTTTACTATTTTTAGATAGCCGAGTACCTTGTTTTGCTAGTTTATATGAGTTCGGTGCTCAATGTCGACATGCTGGCTTTTGATAGATTAAAGGCATTTTCAGAAATTAAGCAGGAGGTAAAACATACTTTGAATCTGCCTATTAAGTTTTAAAACTAAGCTCTGTTAATTCGTGTCAATGTTTTGCATAATTTTAAGTTAGACTTATAATTAAAACTTCTCACATTACTACCTAAATAACTCAAACTGATGCTTAATTAACAAATATAATAAATTTTCAAATGAAACTGTGATACAGAAAGACTGGCAATATGATCTACATATTGAAAGCATTGAAAATTTTATAGCATTCGTTATTTAAATTAACTAGTTATTTCTAATTTCAGACTTTACTGCAACTTCTCCTTTCCGTTTCCTCACCAGAAATGTAAATGAGTTGGAGCGTATTTAAGCTAAGGTATTTCGGTTTGTTAGACAGAGCGTGTTTCTGTCCTTCGTGGGCAACATTGTGTAATACCGTCAGCTCTGGTAAGATTGTAATTTTCGGCTTTGCGTTATTGCTGCCGACATTTAAACTGATACTCCAGTTATCTGAGCCAGCTTCGAATTAAACTGAATTGTGTAGTCTCTGACTAATAGTCTCCGTTTTAAATTTGAATTTGACTGTTATTTTAGTTACATCGTCAGAAGTGATGGTTGAGGCTGTAAGCAGAAGTGCATTTATGTTCAAAATTTGTGTTTAAATAAAAAGATGATTCTAAACTTTTCCAACGTTTTATTGCTAATTTCAGACACAGCGATAATTCGCTTTTGTAAAATAACTTTTGTAAATAACCATTAGAAATTTAAATTAGAAATTTAATTGTCCATTAGAAATTTAAATCTAGTTTATGCTACCAAAGCAAGTCAAACTGTATAATCTTCTATATTAGGTTCTTTCTAATTCTAATTTCTGTATTAAGCTTCTTCTGTATTAAGTTCTTTACAATATATGATAAAATAAATTAAAGGTTTTCACTTCCATCGTTTCCCTCTCTAACGTTTTGGGAGTAGATAGGTTCTAGCTACGCGCATTGGCATTAGAATATCTAAACTGGTTATAAGTCACCAGCGGCTAGTCAAAACTGCATATCCATGTCGACTCGGCGTATTCTTAAACTGTTGTTAAATTTGCCTCTTTTGGGTTACAAAGAAAGGAAAATTAAAATGCTTTAAAAGAAAATTAGTTAGTTACACAAAAATTTTACAATAATGTTTTATTTCGATGTAGTCAGTAATACTAAAGGAAAAGAAAGATTGCAAGCTTTTCAAAATGACTGCAATGAGTAGTTAATTCAAAAGTCTTTTAAGGCTGGAGCCATTTATTTGTTGACAATTTTCAGTTCATCAAAGTGCTAAAAAGTACAGACAATTCTAGGTTAAAGCAATTGTTGTAATTTCGCAACCAATTAAATTTTTAACCCTCACTCTGTATATGTTCTTGACTCTTATCACCACAATTCGTCCAGTCCAGAAGCAGTTTGTTCAAATTTAATTACGTGAGGTTCCTTAACTACAAGTCATGCTGTTGCTAAATCCCAAACTTCGTTGACTCATGACCGAAAAGTTTGTCACCGAAGTAAGATTAATCGCAATTTGTCATTGGTAACGACTCTGAGATCCTGGCTTGGATTAAGACGAAATTAATGCTAAATTTCCTTGAGGAATTTCACATCTACTTGCGATAATCAATCAAACTTTCTCTAATTGTCAAAGACGTTTGGCCTGTTGAGAATTTATTGCAAATAAAGAATTTCTTCCGTAAATTATCTTTCCTTCTTTCCGTTTAAGTTGATTAATGCTGCGATATTAAAAATTTTTAATTAATTAATTTTAAGTTATTTTATAATTTCTTTATTTTAATGCAAAAATCATAACTAGCCTTGACAAATCCGTAGGTAACAGTGGCTATTAGATCAAGATCCCTGATCACGTACTTTTAAATTAAGAGTTACAATATCACTAATGCAACGAAATGTTGCAGAAATTAGAGAAATGCCTTTATATTTTAAATACGGTCTTCTCTTTCGCAATGCACTTTTTAGTTACATTTGAATTGTAAAACTAAATTCTGGCTGTAACTGTATTTCATATTTGTATAACTGAGGTATTCTATCAGCTTTTACATTTTTACAGTCTTTTGCTTTATATTATAAGAAATTATTTTCTTTTGCTTAGTCCGAATGGGAGGATCCAATAAATGCTCCCCCAAATTCATGGCCAGATTCAGGTCTAGTACATATTCAGAATCTCAGTACAGCATATGGAGAAGGACTGTACCCTGTTCTTCACAACATAAGCATCGACATCAAGCCTGGTGAAAAAGTAAACTAATGTTAAATTTCTGAAAAATCTGACTGGAAACATATAGTATTCAAAAATTTAATTATTATATATCATTTATAGCGTAGCTGCTAACGTGTAACAATCTGATTATTAATTATTCCTTTTAGGTCGCAATAATTGGTAAAGAAGATTCTGGAATGCACACTTTATTATACTCCCTTTTTCGATTTATCGAGCCTTCAGGTGGTGAAATCATAATAGATATATTTGACATCAGTAAAATAGGTCTACGAGATTTGAGATCTAGATTGGCCATCATACCACAAGTAAGATCAAAATTATTTTTATCAGTTTCTTTCATGCTATGTGAAATGTTGAGATAATGATATGATTAGAGAAAAATAATATTCAATCACTATATCTAAATAAAACGTTTCGCTGCAGGATACTCTAATTTTCAATGGTTCAGTGAGACAGAACTTGGATCCTTATCAAGAATTCAAAGATGAAGAGATATGGTCCGCTTTAGAGATTGCTGATTTGAAGGCACATATTTCAAGTCTTGATAGTTCAGTTGAAAGGAAGATGAGGTATGTTTGCAATTTGGCATATATAAAGGGCTGTAGGTTGAACAGCAGTTTGCAAATAGGGGTACGCAAGTAAATTCTATCCCAAATAACGTGAGGATTATCTGGCTTGAACGATATTGCTTGGAGAGAAAAAGAAAGCATGCTCATTATTTGTCATACCGATGGTTTGAAAAACTAAAGAATTCTGATACAGATAGCCCTTTTGTCAGAAAAACAAAAGCTTCGATGAAATTACCAGTTTTAGTAATTCTTTCTACTCAATCATGGATACATAATTTTCTTTGAATTGAATTGTTACTTATTTCTGTAAAAATAATCTAAGATATCATTATCTCCCAATGAACAAATGAGTACGAAAATGCGTTATAATCATGTAAGCAAAAAATTAAATATTTGCTATCATGAAAGATAGCCCCTAACGTTTGTTCAATAAGTTGCGCTCTGTAAAATGAAGTTTTTTAGTAGATTGAGTAAGATTTAAATACAGAATTTCATCTTTCCGTCTATGTTGTTTAGTCAGAAATGCTATGACAATACTATCATTGCAGCATTTTCATATTAGTTCGAGGGGTACAAAATCGCAACAAAATATTCTTAGAAAATAACAAAATTCCAGATTTGAAAAAGATAACTTGTTGCAAAGTCATTTTTTTCTAAGCAGGAAGGGTGAAAAACGTGCATTGTCCTCGTCGGGACTCGAACTCCGGACCCCTCAAATACGAGTCGAGTATGCTTCCAATTACACAGCGAAGGCATGCGGAAACGAGAGATAAAATACCTTATATACCCCCCTTTAAAAGGGCGACTGGAGATTAGGAGTCCCAATCGCCAAAATCCTAGTGGTGAAGAATTATCGTCCACTACCTTTTAGTTCGAGCACCATTTGTAGATTTATTAGGTTATTTTGAAGCAGGAAGCAGGAGGGATGAAAAATGTGCAATGCCTTAGGTGGGACTCAAACTCCAGCCGTCTCGAATACGCGTCTAGTATGCTTCCAGTTGCACCACAATGGCATGCGAAAAGGAGGAAAGATATACCTAATTAACTGTAATCTTCAGAAGTAGGAAGACATTAAGTGATAGTTTTTAGTTTTTTGACAAAATAATAATTATATTATTATTGCATTGTAATTATTATTATTATTACATTGTAATTATTATTATTACATTGTAATTTTTATTATTACATTGTAATTATTATTATTACATAGTAAATGTCTTAAGTTTAATATGTACATAATATTAAAAAAAGTAATTGGGTTCTTATTACAATCCTATTACGTACATATATTTGTATTCATTCATAATTCCTTATTTTTCATTTTCAGCAATGAAAAGAAAAATTTACTTTCGATTGCAAGATTGCGTGCTTAAAAGACCCAAAATTGTAATCCTTGATGAATCTGAAGCTTATGAAAAAAATGGAGAAAATGTATTTCAAAACAGCACAATACTTAAATTCTGCAGCCACCAGATTTCAGAACATAACGGCAGGTAAGCAAAACAGCATATCAAAGATAAACAAATTAATTAAGCTAGCTTGTCTTAGTTTTCGTATGTAAAGATCGAGTTTACTTTTCGTATGGGGGGATGATTATTTCAATGCCCGAAATTTGTTGAGTCCTTGTTTGCAAATCTGTGAAATTTTAAATCAGTTTTTACAAAAAAAAAAAAAAAAAAAAAAAAAAAAAAAAAAAAATTATAATAATAATAAAAACAATTATACAAGGAGTTTTTAAAAATACTATACATTTTATTCTGCAAAAAATCTTTCAAATGTCTAAGTTTATTGTTACTTCAGATTAAATTTTTGAAGAGTTCCTTAAAAATGATATGAAAGTAGAAACTTTCAAAAGGCTGGCGGGGCTGTTTGCTGACCAGTATTTAGCCATTACATGTCCGGCCCTTAAAAAAAAAGGACGAGTGCCAGGAGTCACCTAGAGAACTACAAAAGACTGACTTTAATAGCGCTCTAGCGGTATGTTTAACTGCAGTTTCAATAATACTCTGAATAATAGTTACCTCGCTACACAATTGCCACAAAATGCCCATCGTGATGTAGCAAAGAAAGCATAGCAAGGAATAGAAATTCCATTCGTTGAGTCTGGAGCTTATTTCATAAATCTATTAAACTTCTCTAGTTTTCCTACAAACATGTAAGTTTTCATAACCCGCAAAAAGCAGCATAGTTTTTCCTGTCTCGTAGATATATTGATATGACATCTGCGTATGATAATATATGTTGCATTTTATACATCCTGTACATTACCCACGTTCTGATTAGAACCCACGATATGTATCCTTTCATTATATTTAACGTAGACTTACGTTCCTCTATGGTGATTTGTGGAAAGAAAAAATTATGATGCTTTTTGCGGGTTATGCAAACGCTTAAATCTCCGTAACTACAAAACATAGAGAGTTGGTTTATGTTTCATTTGATAGTCGAAGGTGTACCCTACAAAATACAAAATAAATTTTCAAATTTGGAATTCAGCCACAACTAAGAAAGAAATTCAGAAACGGTTTAGCCACAGCTGAGAAACAAATTTTAAAAAATTCTCGGGAATTTTGATGACGTCATACATTGTGCGCTTGCACAATGAGTGGCCGTGCATCAGTTGCTTGTTGGAAGTGGTCGTGAATGGTTGTACATTTTGTAAATTCTGTTTCACTGAAATTAATAAAATTTTTAAAATGAGTCAACGAAAAAAAAATTATTGAAACAGAGAAGAGAGAGAGCAGCTATTTAGATAAATGAAGAAAAGAAGAAAGAGCGAGCAAATAAGTTGCGCAAAGAGCGAGAAAAAGTTTTCAATATCACATATTATATTCAAATAAATGAAGAAGCCTCACCTTCAAATTCATCCAGTACATTATCATGAAATTCAGGCATACCTCAGATTGATCACACGGGAGAATATTTTCGCAAACAATGATGAATATTATTTTGAACAATTAAAAATAAGGTGCCTAATGACCTTAGTGAGTTCTTTATATGTTCAGCGTGAACACAAAGCCACTGAGGTTAAATTCAGCAGAGTGCGAAATCTTTATAGACTTGGCATTTCACAGCGAACTAAAATTCGCGTTTCAGCGCCAAAGACTGCCTGAACTTTTGGATATGTTTTACAAATTAAATTCAAAATCTTATCAGAAAAAGCAAAAACTAGTGTTTCTTATTTCTGCTTTTCTCAAACTACATATCTCTGTCTCTGTAAAGCAAAGTTCTCCGCCTATACAGCTACAAAATAGCTTAAATACAGAACCAGATGTTCGCGCTTCCAATTGTCATCAACTGAACTTAAAAAAGAGAGCTATGTCGAAAATTGCAATCATATGTAGTATATCATTAAATGTTTATGTATTATTTGAGTTATGTATTAATTTAGGCCTACTCTTGCAATACGGTGCACTCTAATTATAAAATTGAAACTGAAATTGTTTTCTGTTAAGAATAATAAAAAATTTTCATAGCAAATATTGAACGAATATGTATTTTAATTGAGTTGGATATAATGATTAACTAAAAAATATGAGTTTATTATATGGATGTTTTTTATTGCTGCTCTCCACAATAATATGTTTAAAACTATGGGTATAGGCTCGTAGTTCAGAAACTAAGATATTAGAGTAGATTATAAATTTTTTGTAAAATAATTTCTTTGCATGGAAATTTTGATGCTGTTTAGATATGCTCTTTTACGCGTTCATTTACTAATTATCTCTTTATCTTCTCCCTAACATTATTCTTAAAAACCATTAGCTTGTAAGATACAGAGTAAGCCTTTGATTCTAAAAAAAAAGGATCCGCTAACTGAAGCTCTTGGAAACCGCTTCATTAAGACACCATGTAATGTAAAGATACCTGAAAATATAATCTTCTTTTAACTGCTGCAGTTTTTTTAAACTGCATAATATGGAGTCATTGGAAAAATGCGTAATTAAACTTTTTCTTGAGCATACAATTTCGTATACAGGCGAAAATCTTGAACCCATTGCTGAATTCGCATTCGACTCACATTTATGCGCAAAAATAAGTTCTTTATGACATTTACAATAAGACTCTTATATTGCTGAAATCTTTCAATGAATCTCAAAATGTTTTTCTACGTTCTTTATTATGTATCCGTCTGTTCAATATAAAAAGCTAATGTCTTACTTTTAATATATTTCAGGATAATCAAAATTTCAAGTGGAGAAGTAACAGAAGATAGTTCTTCTAACTTGACGTCAATATAAAGCCCAGTGCATACAAAAATTATAGCACTTTTTAAGGATACGAAAGATTTTAAAAACAACTTGCCTGCGTTTGCTAAATTCATATCATATTTGTTTTAGTAAAATATACTTCACGACCATATTTATTTTCTCTTTCACTAATTTGAACATTTTTAAGTGTTAACTGTGTATTAGCATTTGATACATTCATAGTTGATTTATGAATATTTTGTACTTTTATTAAAAAAGTATCTTCAATTTTAAGGAATGGAATTCTTATGGAACATAATGGAAGATTTGTTTTTATTTCGCACAAATACAAATACATTGTAAATTCAACGTCAATAAAATGGCATAAAATGACAGTTTAAAAAAGTGCTTGAAATTTGACATCGGACAGGATAGTAGATTTCCAATAAAATAGTAAATATTGCAACAAAAATAGATGACTGTATTATATGCACTGATAATACAGTTTTGAGGTTGATATGTTCACAAAATATATTAAGTTCAAAGCATGATAAAGTAAAACAACTACTCTTAATGCAGGCTAATTTTAAGGAAAATACATAAAATAGCAAATTTTAGAGTCTTTTAACATCATAATTAGGCTTTGATAATGCAAATGTATCCATGAATCATTAAACAAATTAAATATTTTAATATAAAATAAATGAATATAAAAATCTGATATACAAAAAAAAAATATCACAAAAAGGTGTTCAGTTACGTGTCAATAACTAAAACAAGAATGAGAAACAAACATTTTTGTAATCTTTATGACATTAACGCATGATATGTCATCTGATCCCTAACTATATATTGACTAGATTAAAATTCTCTGTTCTCTCTTAATTTGGTATCTAAAGTAGATCCAACGAGCTTTGTAAAAAGATCGCACATTCTTTCTTTCATATTTACAATCAACTTACGAATGATCTGGAGATGGTGTAAACTGCTGCAAAGGATAATCACCAAATTCTTCCATGCCTTGAGGTGGTAAAGGTATAAAGGGAGGCCATCCCAGGAGTACAGGATCAGGGCAAAAAAACGATCCTGGCTCTTGGTGGCAACCATAATCATAATAATCATACTCGAGGCCATCTTCTGAGCCAGTAGTAGACAGTTCAGACACAGACGCAGTTAAAGGAGTTGCACTTTCACGTTGATTACTCTTATTTGTAGGACGACCTCTCCGCCTCACTGGTGATGAGGTATCCGTATGTTCGACTTTTGCAGGTAATTTATCCCATTTGAGCTTCGGCTGGAGGGATGTAGATGAACGGAAAATAAAGCTATTATAAAGATAGTCTTCAGGACTAGCGGACGGAGACTTTATGGACAACTCTGAAGTGGAAGTTTGAAGCTCTGGGCAGCTTAGATTTCGAGAGCTTTCTGTCACGGATTTCACTTTGTACTGTCGCCAAAAATGGAATATGATCAACAAGGCAATAGTAGAGCAGATGATAGTAGCTAGCATTATGATGGTCACATGGACGGCAGATAGATTGCTAAATGAAAGGGTATTCATATTTTGTTGAACCATAGCAAGGCTTTCCCTCGGACGCTCTGAAAGGGAAAATGTTAAGAAATAAATGATAAAAAACTATATTATAACAGATAATAAAGTAAACTGGTTGTATATACAAAAGACGAACTATAAGCTCTGTTGAAATACAAATATTCATCATTCGTTTTATAATAGGATGGTTAGTGTTCAGGCTTTCCAATCAACAGAATTAAATGTAATACCTTTTACAAGTAAATGTGGTGGCCTGATATTTTCTCTTATAATTAGTTTATGCTAAAATTAGCACTCTGCGTTCATGCACTGCCTGGCAGAGAGAGTGCCACACCATGAAAGAATGATTAGAAACTGAATCAAGTGTATCGGTCTTAACAAATGTTTTATTTTCAAAAATAGACAACGTTGGACTTTCTTATTTGTACGTTAAGATGTTAGTTGTACGCTAAGACTTACTTAGATATACAGGGTAGGTAAAACATTTCGAGCAGTACGTTCTTAAATTACATCATTATACCGCATCAATGACATTATCACATTCGGCACCCTATGCTACTCTTGTGCGGCATATTTCAAATGTTTACGATGATGGTTCGCTGCTAAAAGAAGCTTTTGTGAAGGATAGATGGTTATTAAATGTGCACCAGCCAACCATCGTAAAACTGTCGGCATGAATATTGGACTGATGGAAACACCTGTGCACTTCTCAAAATAATACTGATTGTGGACCATGGGTCAGATAAGGCGTGGCGATCATCTGCGGCGATTATCAGTCTCCAACTTCCGTCACCTTACTTCAGAATCCTCTACGACGCTTCACATTTCCTTTCTAGGTCCATCCACTGCCGACCAATAATTTTAGATCAATCTGCATATCCTTTGCAATAAGATGCAAGGAACAACCAGCAGCACAGACGCCCAAAATGAAGCACATCATGAATCCGTCCGTGTTTTGAGAGACGAGGTAATCTCTATCCTCCTTTGACCTCTTAAAAACCCTTAAAAGACTTATTGAATCGTCTTTCACATACATGAGACCAGAAAACTGCATAAAAAATCGCGTAATATAGCCGTGACGGTGTCAAACTGGGGGCTTCGCGCGTTATTTGAATGTTTAGAACTCGTGCGCAAACAGTCTGATCTACTTTCAAATGCCAATGTTGTTGTTTTTATCGTATCCATGTATTAGCAGTGAGAAGGTGATATGATTTAAAACACGGTTCCATGATAAAGGTCCAGACGACTGCGGCCGCTAGCACCGGTGCCTGTGTGGACCGGTGCCTCTATGGACCGGTGCCTCTATGGTCAAGTGCCTGCAGGAAATCCTGTATGGACCTGAAATGCAATAATTGGCATAATTTGTATGTGCGTACTCCCATTACACTTGGATAAAACTGCGCTGGTTTTTCATGGTGTGGTACGTTCTCTTTGAGGCAATGTGGCTCACCAGCGGCCAAGCGGTAAAGTCGCTGAACACTGGTAGTTCGGTCCGAGGTTCGAATCCTGCGAACGGGCTGGCTGCATGGGTGTTTTCGTGGTTTTCCCCATGTGTAACGTGTATACGAGCCAGTTTCCCTTAGAAAGTCCTCCACGAAGGCATCCCTTCCCTTAGGCAGATAGCCCTAGTGTGCTTTGCCGTAATTAAATACACCACACCACACCACTTTGAGGCAATGTAGCATGAGCCATGTCTGCCAATGCGGACTATAGCCAGCACCAATCTAAAACCTGCTGATATAACATAGAATGATAAACAAATACCAATTTCATGACAGTTATAATGTTATTCGTAACAAGGTATCTGATTATAACATATCACTTTGCCTGTCACTTTTCTACCATTGAGACTACTGTTAATTTATTTATACGCATCTTGTTGTAATTAATAATAAATGATGTGCTTCAAGCTTTTGGAGTATTTAACTGTACGAAATTGCAGTAACATTTGTTCCTTTTCTTGAACACATAAATCTTAGTTATTGGTTTTATCAATTTTAATAAAAGTACGGCTTGAAACAATAAAATATAATTAAAGACTGACATGTAATTAGGTAAAATATGGATATAATTTAAGTACAGCAAAATATTAGTTTGATGCATCTACCGAAATACTTTCTGGGAGACATTCTACGCACAACTAGCTCGTTCCTGGGCGGAACTACTAGCGTTCAATGGTTTTATCTGCTTCACCACTACTCGCCTATACAGTTGTAACGTTGTAAATTGGCACATATAGTGTTTGACAGCTCTTAATGGAGTTTGATTAAAACTACTTCAGCTGAAAAATAACGCTAATTTGGAAGAAATAGAAAGTAAAAATTCATTGTAAAATACCAAAATTACGAAAACAAAGTTTAAAAACGTTTCTCTACCTACTATAGAATATATAGCATCAGGAAATATCTTTAATATCCTATGCTTCAGATATGAATAAAACCTATCATATTGATTTAATACAAATTGTATAATTATATCACTTAGGGAGATAATTAAATAATTTAACCGTAGGTGACCGTGAAAATCGCAAGTTACTTGCAGGTTGGCAATTACTTGCGGCCAACAAATAAATCACCAGCGTGAGGTGGTGAACGGCATATAAATGTATTTTAAATTAAAATTAAACTGAAACATAATAGTTCCAGTTACGGTTGTTAATCATGTGTGATCTACAGTTTGAAGTGTCACTGAAGATCGACACGTATGTCATTAGTATAGGGCGGTGCAGTAAATTTAGGCAAATATTTAAACAAAAATAAAATCTGAAGATTCCGATGCTCATCAAGGCTGTAGCCTACAGACTGAGTGTCAGTTAGAAATAATCAATGAATCCCCGATGTTGAATGAGGTAGAAAATTTGCATAAAGTTTTAAAATGAAATAAAATCTGGGAACAATAGTGCCTAACATGGCTATTGGTTACTAGCGACCTATATATTAAGAGTCAGTTGGAGTCAAACCATACGCCACCAGTGTGGGAAAGTAACGTAAAATTAGACAGAAATTTAAACTAATTAAACTAAATCTCTATTGGGCAGTGTAATAAATTTAGATATACTTTAAATTAAAAATTAAATCGAAGGATACATATCCCCATCAACATTGTTGGTCACTCATGACCAACAGTTATGCGGTCAGTTTCGGTCAACCTATGCATTATCAGTGTGTGACCATGCAGTTAAACTAGATATATGTTTGAAATAAAAATTAAATCCGTAGACACATCCATAAACATCAAGGTCACCGATGTTGGCGATTTTGACTTCCAATTTGAGGATTACCTGTATGGACACAACTTTGGGGCAATAGAATAAATTTTGATATATTTCAGAATTAAATCGAAGGATATAAAAGACTCTTGGTTGCAAGAAATCTATAAGCTGAAAGTCAGTTGGGTCAACTCATATATCACCAGTTTGAGGTACTACAAGAAATTTAGATACATATTTAAATTGAATAGAAGCAAATCTCTGCCCATCAAAGCTTTTGGTCAGTCACGCCTGTCAATGTTATTGATCACTAATAGCCTACAAATTGAGGATGACTTGAGGTTAACCGACATGTCGGAGTGTGGGAGAGAGCAGTAAGTTTAGAAACATGTTCAAATTTAATGAAACTGAAAGTTCATAAATGGTCATTACAATTTGTTGATCAACGGGAGCATATAGGTAGACAGTCACTTATGACAAACCATAAATCCCTGGTGTAGCATGGTGTAGTAAACTTAGATAGAATTGTAAATTAAAATAAAGTAGAAGCACACTGCAGCCCAGAAAGGCTGATGGTCATTGATGACCCACAGTTTGACAATTATTGTCCCACACAGGTAAAAATGGGCACCAGTGTGGGAAGATAAATTTAAGTAGATTTAACAGTGAAAATCAAGCATAACGTTTAATTTTAAAATAATGGACAAGTTTGACGTTCAAGCATAAGAGTGAATTTAGAAAAATTTCAAAATAAAATTAAACAAAAATACACCATTGCCCGTTGAAGTTGCCTACCGCTGACTTACAAGATATTTATCAGTGACATACGCATCAGTCACCACAGATCAATGGATACTGGTGGTCAGCATGTAAAGTCACCATAGTCATCTGAGTGGAGTAGTGCAATAAATTTAGATAGTTTGTTAAAATTAAATGAATCCGAAAGACACTGGGAAGCTTCAAGCCATTTTTCACTTATGACCTATGCATTTTCAATCACCACTATATGGCACTGCAATGTTACTGCCCTGGAACACTTACCAAAGCAAATGGATGATATGCAGTTAATAATGTAAGAAACACCATAAAAATCCAATATTTTGGAAAGGTTTTGCTACAAAATTTTTAACATAAAACCAACTGTTCTTATGTAAATTCGATTTTTATTTAATGCTTAGAAAGGGTGTATTTTCATATCACTGTGGTGAAAATGCAAGAGCAGTAGTAAGATGTCTAATAGACTGCAGTGATGAAACTACACATGTTACTCTCGAAATCTACCATAAATTCTACTCTCGTGACAGGTTGACCCATTTAGTTGAATTACATCGCAGAGCCGAATATACTAGCGGTCCAGTATGCTGCAGACATTGGGCTAACCCTTGTGTGCCGAAAAAAAAAATTGGTTCGTCGATGGAAAAATTAAACTAAAAACGTATACCGATAAAATTCTATAAAAGCGCTTGTCATATTCAATCAATTTAAAATAACCTATGTGCAAAACCGCGTTATTAAATATTTATTTATTCTGTGACGGGATGTGGCAATACTTTTATACTTTAGTAATCTTGTTTTAAGTCATAGAATATATACTGTATTGTCAAATAAAGTTGTAAAATTTTATTGTTCTTTATTTTATGTAACAATTATCTTTTCATTTGAATTTTTACTTAAAATATATCTACATAAAAGGTTTTAATTAAGAAATAATAGGGTGTAAGATTCCATTGTAGTGTCTTATAAGGATTCGTTTAGTTAGGCTAACCATTTAATGTCCCTTACTGTCTTTCTCGTTTCCCATTTTCTTGCCAGAATGTAAATTTCTGGTTCGCGTGTATTCAAATGAAGTAGAAAGGAGATGACATTTAAAGGAGGATTTTAGAATCAGAGCATGTCCCGCGCATGTCCTGGAGGCCATGTTTGCTAACTGATTCTCTTGAGAATAGTATTCTGCGGCGCTGCGTTATTCTTGCCGTTAAGCTTGCCACGTCGACTTCAGGTCAGAGCTGAAAAAATATAGGTATCTAGTTATTAAAAAAACGTTATGAGAGCCATGGCATTTCGATATATAAAAGCTAAAATAGGTAAAAATAAAGGGAAAATACGTCAAAACTTAGCTTCAAATGGAAAAATTGCTTCAAATACATATCCAAGGGAAAAACGGAATGTTTCGAATGTTGCAGATGTAAGAATTTTTAATATTTAATAGAAAACCCGCCAAGTCAAAAGGCAGTTGAAAAATTATTAAAGTTTCATTGTCAGCTGTAAACACAGTGATAATTAGCTGATTTGAATCTTTAAAAGGAGTAAAAACATAATGTGCATTGTCTTTCTCCGCAACATATCGCAGAACGCGCTGCAGAATTCTTTATAAGAAATAATTATCCGGACAAAATTTGAAAAATGTTGTCACAGTAGACAAATCTTGGATGTACTTAAATGACTTCAATAAAAGGAGATCCATTTATTATCATCAAATAGGAGGGGAAAAAATCTTAAAACATGGTTCAAGGAATCTAAAGGAAGTTTTCTAAAGGATTTATGGTTGTCGCTGATTTTTGATAAAACAGCAATTAAAAATAAAAAGAGTGGATAAAAGTCTTAAGATCAACTTCACGTATTATCAAAAATATATTTTATACCCAATTTTCAAATATGAAATACCTTCTTTTTACGCACAGTATGATCAATCAGTAGAACCGCATCAAGACAAAGCAAGCAGCGACACGTCAGTCTATTGTTAATTTCCGGGAAGAAATGAAACAAGAAACGGGTATCAAGGCTCAAACCCTTCTCACATTCCTGCTAAGTCCTCTGATCTATCAGAAATGTATATTTAGGCTTTTGGACTTTTAAAAATCGGGTTGTCTAAACGCCGAATTACAACCTCTTTGGACTTTGGAAAGCTGTTCGAGAGCAATGGGATAAAATACCTCTTCCAATACCATAAAAGGTTTTATTGTCTTGGAAATTACGATGTATAAAGATAGTGAAGAATAAGAGTTATGAAATAGAGCATTTAAAACATAAAAATTTTAGGTAAAATATTTCTGTAATTACAACGAAAATCGTCTAAAAAAGTGCGCGAACAGCCTTAGTATTTCAGCTGAGAATTAATTCAAATTATTTGTAAGTTTCCTTAAAAAGTAACTTAATTATTACTTTTTTAACTGAAGGAGTTTTTTTTCTGGTGATCTGAACTATTTCAATCTTAACTAGACCCCCGTTGTTACTCTGAATTACTAACAATTTGATTATGTGGCACTGAGTGCTTCTAGACATTAAGCCTTTTTCCGTCTGCGACTACAAGTTAGACCCTTCCTGCGAGTTAAATTATCCTGTGAGCAGTTAGGCTAGTTTAATTACATTTTGTTTTAAGTTCGATATTACCTGTTTGAGTTAAGCCAGAAGTGTTGGAGCAAGTTTATGTAAGCCCAAGCGAGGCCATCTGTTCAAGTATATGTGATTGAATAAAGGGTCCGTTGCGCCTTTCTTCTGACTTTTCTGCTGTGTAAGATTTAAGATAATTCCTCATTCAGTCTTTTTTAGAGCTCATTAATTTATGTTGCTTAAAAAAACCGAGACTCTCTAAATTAAGGTTTCGAAATCGTTAACTTGCAGACACATATGCTTAAAAAAATCTCCTCAATGACCTATAAGCCTGGCAGGAATATTCCTTAGTTTCATCGATTTCATCTTGAATTTCAAAATTAGAAAATTCTTTTGCCCCATACTCTTCTGGCTCATCTATAAAGTTAAAGCCAGCGTGTGACTTTTACTGTGAAACATAAATTGTTTCTTCCATGACAGCAAGTTATTGTTTGTGTTAACTTCTTACTTGTAAACTCAAAACAGAAATATGAAAACAAAAATTAAATTTTTCGTATTCTAAAAAGCTTCTGCCTCCAGGATTAATTTCATCCATATAAATTCAGTTCTTCTAGTAGATTTTCAACTCAAACTTTTAAATGGATAATCATTAAACTAAAGTAAATATCACTGTAAGAGCAGTTCTGATATTTAAATTAGTACCTGATCTGGTAGCTAGACATACGATTTCTATATCCTGCAGTGTAGAAGAATTAATATAATGAACTTCCAGTCTCAAAGTATCTGTTAAAGAATGAATAGGATAACGAGATGTAAATGGTCTCACGATGGCCAGCACAGTTCCCAGAGGAGATCTGCCGTCACGAATGGTCAACCAATAATCTGGGGACGGAAATACGAGATTCACAATGTCAACAGTTATGTGTCCTGACGGCCAGGCTTGTATGATCCATATTACTTCCGTCTCACAGTGAGATACCAGTAACTTGAATAAAAGTTTTTCTGTTATGTTCTTATCACATCCACAAGAGCATTGTAGTAGAAAAGGCTCCTGAGTAGTTGTCGGAGAATCATCTGAAAATATAGCACAGAAATGATATATTCACACGCATTCATACAATTCCTACTCAGGAAGAATTAAAAAATTGTAATCTTAGAAACAAAGGATTTTAAAAACTTCCGAGTGTCATCACATCATGTTTTCTCCTTGCAAAATAAAATGTCTGATGTGTGCAAAAACTAAACTGGTTCTTATCAGAAGCGTCTGGAATCTATTCTAATCAACCAGTCTTAATGAAATTTGGCTACTGGGCATGATAGGAAGAAAACATTTCTGAAAACAAAATAACTACGGAAACTTTTCTCCATTAGAAGAAAACTGGAGTTGCAAGGATAATTTTATTAAAAAAATAAAATTTTAAATTATAAAATTATGAAAACAATCTAAGGAGCATTTTTGTAGCCTGCATGTCCAAATCGTAATGTGCTTTTATAAATAGTCGCACGAAGAATTTCGTGAAAAAAAAAAAAAGACTGCTATGCCTCAGTATGTTGGCCTTCGTTTGAGACAAATAGTGCCCACTTCCTAAATGTATAAGGTATTTTCTTTCTCCTTCCAGCATGCCTTTGTGGTGTAACAGTAGCACATTCGGCGCGTATTCGAGAGGTCCAGTTTCAAGTTCCGGCGAGGGCATTGCTCATTTTTCCTGCACTCCTTCCTCAAAATAACCTAATGACCCTACAGTGGAGCCCGAACCAAAAGGTAGTGGACAATGGTTCGTCACCACTAGGAATTTGAGTTCTGGGTCCCCTTTAAAAGGGTGAGCATATAAGGTATTTTCTCCCTCCTTCCAGCATACCTTCGTTGTGTAACGGTAGTACACTTGGCGCGTATTCAAGACGTCCAGATTCGAGTCTCGGCGAGGGCATTGCTTATTTTTCATGTATTTCTGCTTCAAATAATACCTAATGACTCTATAAATGTACTTGAACGTTGAAAAATCCTACAAAGCCAGAAGTCACTGGGATTTAAATCTAGAGATTAGGATAACCAAGCCTCGTTTCTGGAAGACAAAAACTACTTGTGGAGAAAGATGCTAGTTATATTATGTGTTCGTTACTGTATACCTCACAAGATACCAAAAATTCAGCTGCTCAATGGAAAGAAGCTTAAAACTAGAGACCGAAACTGACATGGAAACTACATCACTCAATAACGTAATGAAGAAATAAAGTATGTTGTTTATCTATATAAATGACGCGAGAAACACCATATGTGGCAGTTGTCTGTAAGTGCAAATGCGCTTCATCTGTCAAAATGTTTGCATTCTACTTTAGCTCTCTCTAGAAAACCTCAAAATCTGTGCATTTAAGTGAATCTTGCGGTTTTAAATGTTAGACTATTTGGATCTTGTTCGGATAACATTTTAAAATAGATGCCAGATTTTATATATTGTAGACCGAGGAATGAATAGTTCACATGCCAATACTCGAGGACAAAGAACTTCTATAAGTTGTTTGCTGGAGAGCTTACTGGAAGTAAGTATACAAGGCACGCGCACTGTAACAGTTATCCCTCATTGTAACAGTAAACCTTACCACACTCGGGCGCCTTCACCTTCCTAATATGTTGAGAACAGAGATATTTGATAATTTCCTTAAAACTTTCATGCGACGAAACACAGGTATTGGTTAACATTACAGCTTTATCGAAAGTGTTACTTTTTTAAAAGGCATGACAAATCAAATAAAATTTTGCAAAACAAAATCTTCACTTTTTATAATAACTTTACTTTATATTGCTTCCTAATTTATCCAACATTTCTGAAGATTTCTTCCTATAGTAACTGTCTTCTCAAAGTCTTAGTAGTATATAAACCAAGCTTTGCCATAAACTCTTGATTAGAACAGACCCAGGGCGCTCCGAATAAAATCAGTTTGACTATAACTGCTCTATATAATTTATTCGAATGCCACTTTGGAGTTATTTGCATTTATGTGTGACAGCTAGTTATTTCAAATTTAATGTGCAATTTTTTATATTAATGTAGAATGTTTTAGACTTTATATTGTGCTTCTAATTTCAAAGAATTATTTTGGGAAAGGAGAAGAATTTCCGTTGGGCAGTTGAAAACTTGTAATTTTATATCAATATTTAGCATGTCACTTTTACTTAGAAGCAAATTCACATTATCATTCTACGTAGCCTTCAAATCTGTATAAATTAGTGAATTTTTCTCTACTACTTTGTTCTTACTTACATTATATCGGTTTTATAAATCGTGATCCAAATAGTGTACGTCCACGAAATTTATTTTAGAAGACGAGATTCACAATGTCATTTATTCTATTCTGGATTTTATTGTTTATATGAATTTTGGTTTTCGAAATTTATTTTATTCTGGATTTCATTACCTACATTAATTTTGGTTTTCAAAATTACGCGAATAAGCGTAAAAACCATCTCTTAATATGTACTCAAAAATTTATCTATGAGGGAAATATGTTATACTATTATGCCAGTAAACTTCTTGATAAAATGAGTGATGTTTTAGAATTCCATAAGTTGTATAAAGGACAATGACTACAAGAAATTTTCAAAACAAGATGAAAACTGTACTGCACGATTATCGCACATCGCACTTAGTGAATCTCAGTTAAAAGGACGACTAAATTATTAGACAGCAATGAGAGGAAGAAGAAGATAACAATCTCTTCATAACATGCTTTAGTTCTTTATCCCCTTGGTGAGGTTTACCTATTTATTTTTAACTAATAGTTCATTTTAAGATAGTACTTTCATATTACTCTCTTTTCACACACGCTTTTATGCCAGAAATGTAAATGAGATAGCGAGCGTTTATTCAGACTAAGGTAGAATGAAGTGCTATTTAAGCAGAAGTTCGTTTTAGAGCGTGTCTGCCTATTCCACGCCACGTTGTGCTGCAATTATTAGTGACTTGATTTAGTGGCATTGACTGCTTCTACACATTCGGCTCTGTTTCACCTTTTTTCTACAAACCAGAGCCTTGCCTGAATGCTTAATTATTCTGTGAGCCGTTAGGCTAATCTATCGTATTTTGAATTTGTTCAACATTATATATTTCTGTTAAGCCACAAGTGCTTGGCTTGTGTAAACCCAAGTTGGGTAAAAAATTACTGTGTTAAGTTGTGTTCGAATAAAAGGGTCTTATACACCCTTCTTCTGACCTCTGTTTTGTTTCGCAACGTTAGAAGATAATTCTTCAATAGTCCTTTTAAAGTCTATAGTGTATTCTTCCTAAGAGACATAGACTTTACACCCTATTCGTTGAGAACAATAAAAAATTAAACTTCAAGCGTATCATTAAATTTTTAATACAGTTTTTAAAATCATTTTTAATTAATATAGCAAGGTATAATATGCACTGATTTCATGGTATGAAAAGAGTTCTTGTCAAATGTGGTCAGTGCTTTTATAAGGTGTTTCCAAGAAATGAATCTAAGGAGGAAGGCATTCAGTGTATGAAAATGTGAGTCACATGATAACTTTTAATTAAAATATTCCAAATTTTATGTTTCTATATGTGCCTTTTATACAGAATTTTGGAACAGTAGGTCAAGTCTTATCTAATTAAATATCGGTTTTCAAAACAACTAGTTCTGCAACGTCTCAATGAATTCAAAACAAATTGTCCAAAGTTTACAATGCAAGTTACTTTTCTTTACGAAAACTAGTAATAAACATCGTCGATTTCAGAAAATCATATAACCTGAGTTATGTTTAATAATTATTTTTAATGCTTGGTATATCGTCAATTAAAACCCCATACCTATATATTCATGTTTGTTAATATTATAATGTATTTCCTCCCTCGTTTCTGCATGCCTTCGTGGTGTAACGGTAGCACACTCGGCTCGCATTCAAGAGGTATTCCAGGTATGAGTCCCGGCAATGGCACTGCACAATTTTCACATCTCCTGCTTCAAAATAACGTAATGACTCTACAATATAACATACCTTTTAAAAATGTACAATCGAAAAGTTAGCTTGCATAGTTGTTATTAGCAACATTTGCGTATGACTTTCCCTTAACCATATCTTGAATAATTTTTAAGCATACGAAGACCCCCCCCCTCACATCAATTCGGCTGAGAAACATTTTCCTCGTTGTCCGAATTTCTTCCTGGGGTAATTTTTTTCTGTGATTTCCTATAAAAAATTACTGTGATATATTTTTACGAATAAACGGCAAACGATCAAATTGTCTAAAAAGTTTACCTTATTCAATTCATTTCGTAAACTGGAGCCATGGATCTATCCTAATCGTTCTAAGGCTATTCAGTAGTGCCATTCTTTATTAGGCACTTTCTGTACTCAGATTAGGCACACTAATCATTAATATTTTATCAATATGACAAAGTAAGCCATAAGACGCCTCGATGACAACTGCCAGGAAAGTTTAAAGGGTGGATAAATATTTTGCGAAATAAGCAACAGGTGCAATTCGCTTAATTTTCCTACAGCCCCCACAGCAAGGCGTACAAAGTGTGTGTGGGGGTTGCCTGCTTGCGAAATTTGTAGCCGTAGACTGGCACACGTAAGACACCTGTAAGCTGTGAGGCCTTCCAATGTCAACACAAAATACATATTCATCACCCCATATTATTAACGCGAAAAAGCAATATTTTAGAGCTTATGCAGGTGCAGAGCCAAGTAATGACCATATTAGCATCACGAACATGACCATATCACCATATTAGCATTTGCGAATGACCCTATTATCATTTGCGTTTCTTTCACGCTATCGTAAATTTCTGTTCAGAGTTCACCCGAAAACTATTTTAGGAACGATTTTTCTTTTCACTCGGGTGAAAAGCGGGGGTGAGAAGAGAATAAATGCCATGCTGTGGAGCAGAGAAGTAGGCGCATCGATTTAGTCCGATAGCATATTTCATCACTTTCCCTATTATACCACATTGCCTCTCCATACCACATAGCAACAATGCCTACGACATGTTGCTTCAACAACTTCAACAATGAGCTTTTCAGTGCACGTTGGAATGGTGTTGTCTGTCGGATGTTTCTTCGTCACATTTGTAACTAGCGTTTATAACAAAGAAGAAGATTGCAAGTCATTTGACTAACAGCACAACACTAGTTGTTAGTTGCTAAACAGAGTATTGCTCTGTATCACACTACCAAAGCAGTAGTCGGTACGCATGCTACTACACAGACATGTGTTTTTTTCACACAGTGGTAACGTTACTCATAGATATATTAGTCTGTAGCTGTATACATTGTGGAAGCGCTACTTTACCTCCTGTTCTGGGGTTTGTGGGGCTAGTGCAAAATACCACACGTCGCAAGTGTTGTTTTTTTAACATGCTTGTCTTCCTCTGTAGGTTTCGTGGTGATTATCTTTGGAAAGTCTGTAGCTTTTCTAGTTAGTGCCAAAGTTGCCATCACATGCACAACTTTGTGGGCAAGGTGTGTGACACTGTAAATTCGATTTCTAAGTAAAATAACAGTTTAGCCTTTCATTTGGAGCTATGAAGATATTTTAACTTACCATGCAGATACTAAAAAAAGTCAAATTAACTGAAATAATTACCTTACCCAAAAAGATAATCCTCGTATGTGTTATTATTATATTCACATAACTAATTGCTTAATCTTTACAAAAGGATATTGCTATTCAAATATATTTAATTTAATTTAAATAAAAGACATATGCAACACCTGGACATAATTCCTTTTTGCACGACTGAGACTGTACTGCTTTCCCATTGCATGTTGAGCTATTTGTTGGAGATACGCAAAATCGATAACGAGTCTGAACCCCATTTCCACAAGATGAAGAGCATTCACTCCAAGGACCCCAGTCATTCCACGTTGCAATAAGACCTTCTGAAAGATTTGCAATAAATTAGAACAATGAGAGTGTAATAGAAATTATTAGTTTCATCCTGAAAGTTACTAATATTTAAAAATAATTATATCTGACGGTTAATAGCGTGTAAAATGTATTTTCTCATTCAATTTCTTTCTGCTCATCTAGGTCCATCTTTATTGCCTAACGATTGACTTGAATTGGTACCTGATGTTTTCTGTTGAGCATTCCTACCACCATTTCTACAAACAAAACAAAACAAAACAAAAAAAAAAAAAAAAGAGGGTGGGAGAGAGTGTGCAATAAGAGTTAGGAATGCGCTACTTCTTTGACCTCAGATTTCCTTAAAACGAATCCAAAGGACGTAAACACATGATAAGCAAAGGAAGAACAGTCTGGATTGCAAGGACGTTGTTGCATGGCCTTAAAATTGCTATTTCTGAATAATGGCAACAGTTATGATTGCCATGTGGAAGCGCATTTGAAACGTTACAGCATATCTCCTTCATTTATTTTACACCTGGGTATCTTCAAAATGCTTTGAAGAGTCGATATTTTAGGAGTGACATCTGAATAATAATCACCGTACAAGGAAGTGTTCCATTCCTTATCTCTAAGCACAAAAAAGTCCTTTTTTTCCTGACGAATACGAAAAGCTCACATAAAACAATTCTGAAGTGTAATAAGAATGAGCGTGATTACATAAATTGACATACCATTTGTATTTGTTAGAGAAATATCATCTCATAATTTTTTCTTAGCTGTTTATTTTTTAAATGCTCTTGTATTTCTCTCAGAAGTTGTTATATACTCCAGGGAAGCATGTTGGAGCTAAGTTCATTCCTTTTAAATCGAAAATCAAAAAGCCCAATTTTGATGAAAATTGGAATTGTCACTGCAGTGAAGTCATTTTCGTACAAATTGCACTCAATTACGCCCATCTGTTCAATTTAAGTTTTGTAGATTTTCAAGGCTTTTGGGGCCACTTTAGGAATACACTAAATTGTCCAAAAGATAGGACTATATTTCCTACTTAGTATTTAGCAACAAGGAAATAATTTACCAGGAGAAAAAATGTTCTGCACGTCTATTTTAATTTATGGCTCTGGTAATCAAATTAATAAATTGCCAAAATTTAGTCCTTCGAACTACTGTTTAAAACCTCTTCTCTAAACCAGCGATTGCCAAAGATGGGTTGCAAGAAAAATTTTGAGGGCGTGTGAAAAATTTTCAGTTTTCTGGTTTGTTATATTGTATTGTCCATTATTTTAATCTAACCAGTTATTATGACTTAGCTCCTGTCACTTCTATCTGTTTTCCCTACTAGAATACAAATCAGATTAAGATTATTTAAACTGAGGTTTTTTTTTTTCGGATTTAAGTCAGAGCGTGTTTCTGTCTCTCATGGCCATGTCACTAGGTTTCTGCTAGCGCTGATAAAATTACTTCTGTGAAAAGTTTTGAGCCAACTTCGTATTAATCCAATTGTGCGGCTTTTGCCTTCTAATCTTAGTTTTAAACTTGAATCTGGCTGTTACTTTAACATATATCGCCCACAAGTGGAGGTTTATCTGTAAGCACGAGACGTGCAGTTTATGTTCAAAGTTTTCTGATTGAATAAAAATATTATTTTGTGACCATCTCAAGTCTTTGTCTTCATCTTCCGACGAGCGATAATTCGCTGTCTGTTAGGAGTTTGGATACCAGTTATACTACAAAGGAACATCAAACTATATAATATAATTACGAATACTTTTTATAATTGTTTAATTATTCCTAAGTATTAACTAATTGGTAATAACCATTTTTATTTCACCATTTTCTGTATATCTTCCTTTTCGTTTTCCTGAGAAACTATATGCAGATAGATCGCGAAAATTTACAGTTGCAAGCATGTGGGCCAGCAGGCTGAAAGTTCAGGAGGCAGTGCTTTAAATATGCTATTCATTATAAAATATAGTCTATTTGGGTACAGGATTTCAGTTGCGAAAGGTATGGTATATATCTTTTCTACAGAAGTTTGGTTTTCATAGTTGAAGAAAGCCACTGATAATGCGTTCTATGCTGTCTTTTATACGTTGAAGGAAGAAAACACTCTGAGATTTGGTATTAAAAAAAGGTGAACTTGATGTTCGATTGGGAGACAATATCTTAATACCGAAAAACAATACTTTTTTACCGCCAGTCATTATTATTTCATTAGCTACAGTTTAAATATTTTCTTGTACATAGTAAATAATTATAACGTGCATTAACAAGAATTAAAGAAATCAACAGTAGATTAAAAATTGAAAACTTACTGTTATCTGTAAGGGTAGGAAGGCAATGAGTTTTCAAGTCGTATACTGCCCCATTCCGAGCTGTGCTGACAAAGCTGAAACAGTATTCGTGAAACTCGTCATCAAATATATCACATGAAAGTTTGGTGGCATGTTTCCCACTTTCGATCCGGCTCTCTCTAATGTACTTCAAAGGACCACGCAAAGCTTTGCCATACACGCGAATTCTGTCCTGGTCCAAAATGCATCTTGGATAATGGTATATAACAGATAAACTTCCATGACATGGTTGTACCGAACTTTTAGCTACGCTCACTGAATACCTATGACTCCACATAACAAGTATGGTATCACTGACAGCCACTTCTGGTGCATTTTGATAGCCCGTACGTATTCGAACCTTAAAAAAAAGGCATACATTTTATCTATAAGAATTATAAATTCTAAAACAGGATTTTTATCAATATTTTCTTTCGCAGTAAATGCTTATGAAAAATTTCAGGGAAATTACATAGCAGATGAATCCTTTCAATACAGACATTGAGCTAAATATTTATGGATTTATATGCACGTTCATAAAGTTATTACTCTCTCAAACATAACTTTGACAAAAGAATAAAAATGTCTAACTAACAGTACATATTGCTAAGAATAAGATGTTCAATTACAAAGGTAATTAACAGGGAAAAGAAATTAATTGCCAGATAGCCTACAGATTTTAAGTGTCTAGTATTCGGAACTGTAGAATATAATATACGGGGCCACAAACAACTTTTTTTTTATTAAAATGGTAATGTAATTTCTTTAATTATTCATTATAGATAACCGGATCTAAGAGCATTATAAATTGTATTAAGTATTAAAAGTAATTGAAGTATTGCATATTACATCAATTAGAGATGCTATTAAAAATAAAATACAGATATATAGTATTAAGATACTATATCCAGGTATACAGGCAATATCATCTGGTCTTCGATTCATAATTTTCCTTCGTATATCTCTCCTATATTAGAAATACTAATCAATTCTAACTAAAGTCGTGCTACCATTCTGGAGTGAATATGCAAATCCCTTTTTGAAAGGGCTTAAAACTGTTCAGCTTTAGGGCGTTCTGATATTCTAGAACGAGAAAAAATCAAGATTACCAGTCTGAGACATGATATGCAATCCCATATAACAAATACTTCCACAGGCGCCTCCTGTCTGTCTTACGTAATTTGCTCACTTCTGAACTTCCAGCTGTGCGGTGTACAAAGTGTATCTAACTTACATATTCTCACACTATACATTTACGCTTACATTTTATTCTCTTGCTTGTAATAAATTGAGAAATTTATATTTTAGTCTTTAATTTAAAAGGTATTTCTCCCGCTTTCTTAGCATGCCTTCGTGGTGTAGTGGTTCTGCACTCTGGGCCGGCATTCCAGAGGTCCGTGGTTCGATTCCCGGCGAAGGCGGTTGCTAATTTTTCATCTCTCCGACTTTTCCAATTAACCTAATGACTCTACAAATTGTAAATCTATATGTATATGCATTCCCTTAAATACATGTAATAGATCATGATGTTGAATAACTTTATTAGAAAGGAATTCCCACAAAATATGGAGATTACTTAGATAAGTAATTTATAAATATTGCTTATTAATTAGAGCAATAAAATAATCTCTATCGTCTACTTACTTTAGAAATCAAATTATAATTTACTTATGTTTTACTTGTCACTAGTTTCTCCCATTTCTAATTATGTATTTTTATAAATATGATATGAACAATAAATTTGTGGGTACGATAGCTTAATACAGAAATACAATAACGCCAATCACAATTTTAAAAATTACATAAGATATTTTTTCCCTTCTTTCTGCCTGCCATCGTGGTGTAACTGGAAGCACATTTGAAGCGTATTCGGGAGGTGCGGAATTCAAATCCCGGCGAGGACAATGAGTATTTCTCACTTTCTTGCATCGATGTAACCTAATGATTCTACAATTAACTGAATATGGCTGAGATCTATTCCTTTCACAGTAGTCCACTTTCTGCATGGCGATCTATTACTTGGGATTTCCCTCTTAGAAATAAAATAAAGTCTTACGATCCCAAACTCGGCGAGAAGATAGATTCATTTCTGCCAAATGCGTAGTTTCTTGAGAACAGTATGCTTAGTGTGTTATAACAGTGAGGCAACTAGAACTTATTCTTATATAAGTAACAAATATGCAAGAGATATGCATGCTCAGTTGTTTCAAAGCATTCTAATACAACGCATATTTTTATGTCTGATATCTTTTATGTTAAAGAAATCAGTTTGTAAAGGCGCTAGATATATTCTTCTTTCAGCCCCCTCAAATTATATATATATATATATATATATATATATATATAAAAGAAAGATGGTAATCACTTATATAATGATTCAAAGACTTACTGTGTAATTTCCAGCTTTATCGAAGAATTCACATTCCAAAATGGCATCAAACGAAGGGTCCCATATCCACCCAACCAATTCCTTGCTCGTAAGTGTTGTTGGTTCATTCCAGGCAGTAAAAGCTGCTCCTTCATAAACTAGATCCATATATACGGAATAACTAGAGCGGGGTTTGCATCGCAGCTCTTCAACAAAAAGTTGAACTAAGACATCAGAACTGTATGTTTCGACCATCAAAGGTACATGAACCGTTACTTCTGGCCACCGAACATCAAGATTTTCAGTCTGAGCTAAAACTTTGTTCTGAAAGGATAAATTTAATGAAAAACAAGGAATTCACATATTTTCACATAAGTAATGACATTCAATTTAAATAAATATACGCAAAAGTAAATTACTGAAAAACGTTTTTCATATATATAACAAGAGACTTTAACCGCTGCATTACATCAAAATTGCTTAATATTCTCTATAGATCAAATTTTTCGCGATTTACCTGAGTGTGATGAAATGGTATTTTGATTTAATTTACTTATTGTTTGTGCTTTGTAAGTTTTCGTCATAATTCTCATGAAACTGCAATATTTTTAAAAGAACGTAATTTCAGAATGGTGTATCTGTAATTCAGTTTGTCGAAGGACATTACGCAGAACGAAATTTCATTTGCGGTACTGAGTAAAATCGTGATGTTTTTTTACGAAAGTCATATACTTCTGCTCTTTTTTTTTTTTTTTTTTTTTTCTTTATGTGTAAAGCATATTAGCTTCTCGAGTTACCACTTTTGGTTTCCGATTAATGCTGAAGAAGACTAGGAATACAGATTTCTCACAACGTTTTGTCGTGTTCATTAGTAATAATCACTCAGTCACAGCGTAACACTGCATTTTTAATCTTCTAGTCTAATGAATGTTTCAACATTAAAATGAAGTATTAGAGTAGTTGACAGTGATTTGTTAACCTAGTTAAACGCTTCTTCGATTTGCAAAGAATATTGCGAAAATTTTAACCTAGATTTTAGATTAGCAGACATCTATCTTTATATGTATATCGACAGATATACAGAGAGATGAATGTATAATATATAATTTTAACCCTATGAACTCGTTTGATATTTTTGCACATTCTAGTTTAGCCGCATATTTATCCTATATTAGCCGCATCATTATCAAATTAGTAGTTCCAGTTTAACTATTTGCAGCACTATTCGTACGAGAAAAATGGCTTCTTCAGAATGCTTATTAAGAATAAGAGCGAATTTCTCATAGAAAGTCCTCCACGAAAGTCCCTTATAATAGATAGTTCTCGCATAATTTGCGTATAATCATCAAATAGAACGTAAAATAAATCGGAATAATTTAACAGACTTTTAGAGTGATAGAGAAATAAAATTCATTTAATAACATAAAAACTAGTCTTTTCAACAAGCCATAAAAATCTGAAAATAGTTCTATTTGTACAAAAATCTCGAAACTGTTCAGAATGTGAATGGGATGTAACACGAAACTTACCCTTATTTCTTATTACTCCTACCTCATATAATACATAGTATAAAATTCCAATTTAAATGTTTAGTTTGGTAAAGCCTCCCTTTCATAAGATGTTTTAGTTTTAAACTTGTCTGTATAATGATAAATTTAGAAACTGTTATTTCAGTTTTTTAATTCCAAACATGCAAAATTTCTTTAAATAGTTCGCTTTTAAAACTTCTTTAATAAAGTTATGCTTCTTCACTCAAGGTAAAAAAAAAAAAAAAAAACAAAACTTAGCATATGAATAACAAAATGTACTCCTACAGTTCTTATGAAACATTAACATTTTCAAATTTTAGATACTCACCCTCAGGCGAAAATGCTAAACATTCTCGTGTTTTTTTTTTTTTTTTTTTTTTTAATTTTATTTTTTTATTTACTTATTATTGCTATACTAATCTAACTAATATACTATGCAATATACAAATTACTTTACAAAATTATAATATACAAAATACTAATAATTTTAACTTATTGAGGGCTATTTTTAACTAATTTTTTGTACGTTTCATTGTTCATTTGTACTACCAATGCTATGTGGAATAAATTTCATTCCTTTCCGACAATTCCTTCATGGTGTTTCATTTCTCTGAAATATTAGTGTACTTTATTTCAGGAGAGAGCCACATCACAATTTTACAAATTTTAAGTAATATGAGATATAGAAGGATAAAGTTTTAGTTTATGCTGAAAAATGTTACTAAATGCTATTCTAGATTCTTGGGCTGCGCCCTTGATGTGAACAAAACAGGACAGACGGAATTATAATATATTTTCTATTTGCGTAGTTAAAACCTTGAAGATCGATTGTTGTGTTTAATTTTAAATTTAACCTGAATCCAAGCACTCTTATACAAATAAAAGACACGTTTATTAGAGTATGTAGCAGAATAGTTCTTTTTAAATGGTATTTAGCAGACTTATTTAGCAAACTATTATTATTTATCTAAATTTAAATTACAGATTTACATAAATAGCTTTTCATGTGCTTTATTTTTGTGCCGAGCGTATTTTACACCTTCTTAATGGATCATCTTGCACTTTAGCTAACTTACAACAGCAAATCTTGCCATAGGTTCATTTTTGACAATCACATCAAAGCTGTTCCATCGTTTAATTTTCATGATACTACTTCTAAACAAATTAAGATTATAAGTTAGAGCAAAATAAACCAAAATTATTATTTAATAAATACGATTTTTAAGCTTATTTAAAAGTCTTGAGAGACAGAAATTCCTATCTTCAATCCTCAACCTACTTATGGAGTTATAGGAATCAAGGGAAAAGATTATATATTTGCAAAGGAATGACTCTAGAGAACAATATTTATATAATTAAATAATTAAACATTTGAAAAAAATGTGATATTATCTCTCAAAATATTATCATTCAAGTACATAATGCAATGGATACGAAAGGGGAAAACAAATAAATTTTGCCTTGTAATACAAATTCGAGAGCATTTCTGCTTTGTGTGCTTTTCGTGCTCTAAATTTAGTAATAAATTGGTAATCATAGAAGACACTAATATTCGATTTTTCAGTAAGACTTTGGAAAATTTTTTTCGAGTTTGTATTGAAATTATTATTGAAGTAATCATTATAGTCATTTAGAAAAGCAAAATTGGAGCAATTCGACCTTCGCATTGTAAGGTATTTTCTCCCTCCATTCCACATGACTTAGTGTAATTAGAAACACACTCGACACGTATTCGAGAGGTCCAGGGTTCGAGTCCCAGCTAGGGCAATGCTCATTTTTCACATCTCCAGCATCAAAAATCCTAATGACTCTATAGCGGCACCCGAACTAAACGGTGGTGGTGGTGGGCGATAATTCATCACCACCAGGATTTGGCAACTGGGTCCCCTCATAATTAGTCGCCCATTAAAAGGGGGAGTATATAAAGGAGTTCTCCCTCCTTTCCGCATGCCTTCGTGGTGTAATTGGAAGCATATTCGACACGTATTCGAGAGATCCAGCATTTAAGTCCCGGCAAGGGTACTGCACATTTTTCACCCCGCCTGTTCAAAAATATTATGACTCTACAGCATAATCCAGCAAATATTTATTTTGCTTTTTATAAAATTCTGAATCTTCATAATTTTAATTAGAATCATGAAAAAAAATTTGCATTAAAATAGGTGACTTGAAATGCATATTTTATCTGATAATTTAACACTACCTTTTTAATATAATAAATGTACTCAGAGAAACTTCTAAGATAAACTTGTCTTAAAATTCATCAAAGGCAAAAACATTTTGTTAGAATGGAGAGCAGGTACTTGCTGCAGAATATGCTTGAAACTTACGGAAAAAACGATACTGAAGATAGTGGATAAAAAATCAGCATTGAAGTTTACAATTAAAATTCAACGAAAACATAGGAGTTAATAGTTTCAACACGAAAATAATGGCAAACCCCACAAACCCTACAGATAAATCCAGAATTAATGTATTCTATATGCTTTTGGATACCGCACGCAGTCTAAAAAAACTGAATTCTTTGAACAACAAAATTCAAAATTAAAATGTTTGTATTTTTGCGAGGAAGTAAAAACGAAAATCTGCTGAAAGATGGGAACTAAAACGTTAAGCATAGGACTGAAGACTACCTCAAATATGTGGTTAAAGAGATATCTACAACGAGTATAAATTTAAAAACTCAAAGACTTTGTAAACGTATCTAATAATACATTTTTCTAACTTAGCAATTCAGTTTAAAACATTTTCTGTTTTACTTATTTAAATTATATTTTTTACTTTACTTGATAAATACAAATGGCCATTTTTAAAACTAGTTTTAATATTAAAAATTAAATCTTACTTATGACAATATCAAAAGAAAGTCTGCAAGGTCTTGCATGGCTAACAAATGAAAATTTAGGTATACTGAATTAGATATTTTTTTTAAAATCTCGCAAAACCTAAGTAACAGATTGTTTTTCAAATATAATTTTACTGCATAATCCCCTCCTCTAAAATTCTTGTAATAAAAAATATTAAGATTATAAATTTGTCAAAGCCGCATTTTTTGAATTCACATGTCGGCGTCGCAAGCCGTTCGTCGCCGACCATACTTATACTCTCTTACCATACTTATATTCTCGGCGCAGAAATAGCAATTCAGAGTCTGTTCGCACACTTTTTAAACGATTTTCATTGCATTTTTAGAACTAGTTTTCCTAAATTTTTGTGTTTTAAATGTTCCATTTGATAACCCTTATTCTTTACTATCTTTCTGCAAAGTAATTTCCAAGCCAATAAAGCTTTTTTTAGTAGCGGAGAAGTATTTTATTTTATTCCATTCTTCTTGAACACGTTTCCCAATGTCCAATGAGAGTTGTAGGTCAACGTCTGGATAATCCACTTTTTAATAACCCAAAAGCGCAAACAGATTTAGTAGGGATATGAGTGAAGGTTTGATACACGTTTGTTGTTCCATTTTTTTTTTTTTTTTTTTTTTTTTTTTTTTTTTTTTTTTAGGAAATTAGCAATGAATTTTAGCGTGCTTTGTCTTGATGTAGTTCTACTGATTGATGACACTGTGGGTATAGAGAAGGTATTTCATATTTGAAAACTTGGCATAAAATTTGTTCTTGATAATATGTGGAGTTGATCTTAACAGTTTCATGCACTCTCTTTTATTTTTATTTGTCGTTATATCAAAAACCAACAACAATCATATATCCCTTTGAAAAACTTTCTTTAGATTCTTTGAACCATGTTCTAAGATTTTTTTCTTCTCTTTGATGATAATAAATGAACCTCTGTTTATTGCGGTTATTTAAATATACCCGCGACTTTTTTTTTTACTTTAGCAAAGCAAAGTCAGTCTAAAAAATGCGCGGACAGCCTCTGTAGGTGTGCTGAGGTTATGTATGTTTATAGACAATTTTAGTAAAGAACAACAGAACGTCTTAATGCATACCCTCAAAGGGACAAGTCTCAGATCTGCTGATCTAAAAGGTCAGCAGTGAAAACTAAGCATTTAGTCTACAATGATATATTAAAAGCAAGAGAAGCGACTTCACTAAAAACATAATGAAGTTAGTTAAGAAAGGATGATGAACATTTTGACAATAATCTAAAAGTCAGAGATTACCTTTCTCCAGTCATAGATATACGTCAAATCGTATATCAAATTAATATACGGTTAACATTAAGGAATTATTCCCGTGTTAATCATCCTTCACGCTATTTTTAACACCCGATTATCGTCTTTCGTTGCTCGTGTAAAAAAAAATAAACAAGTAAAAAGGGGAAATAATACAGGGTACTTAAATATAAATAAGCAAATCTTGAGAAATTATCCGTTCGGATATGTTGCTTGCCCCTCTGCGCACGAAGTTTTAGAAACCGCCATTTGAATTTGTCTCATTCGTTTTAAAATCCCTGCTGTGTAAGGAAAACTTGCCCAGATATTCCTGATTTACTAAATACTACAGAAAAAAGAGGAAAAAATTGCTAGATAAAAAGTATGAACATTACCTCCTTTACAGTGATGAGCTTAAAAATAAATTGGCCCGCTCTTTCAAATATCCCACATGGAAAAATGATTTTGCCTTTTGAGATTCTCCGTGGTACATCTCGCTTTGCTACTAGCTTTTCTCCATCAGTACCGATTCGTACCAACTGTAACCTGAGATCCGGGCCAGAGGATGGGATGCCGTACAGCACTTCAGTGTCCCCAGAAAGTAGAATATGCACGACTGGAGCTGAAAGCCAATATTCTGCATCCGCTGTGATATGCAAAAGAAAGAAATTTAAGAACAAAATGGAAAGTTAGAGATAACAAACGAGATTTTATGAGACTAAAATTTAGAAATAAAAATATAGCAAAATACACAAAACCATAATAGAATGGTCTCAAAGAAAAAAATTCCTTTCAAGCACTTCCATGATAAAAAAATATAATAACAAACTACTGTCAGTAAATAACAATGTAACTTGAACTTTAACGAGCACAGAAACTAAAATGTAAAATATGTAATTGGTCATTTTCATTTGAACAAAAAAATAAAATGTATTATGCTGATTATTAAAATAGTTAAATTGTGATCTACGAATTATGTTTGTCATTCAGATGCAAATAATACCTATATAGCATTTCAGCTCAGATTGATTTCAAATGCAAGGTGTTAGTTTCAATAGACAAAATGGAGTTAGAAAAATGCTTATCGTTATGAAATTAGAGAAGTGAATATAAAGATTAAAAACAAGTGAAATATGATGTTATGTAATAAAATTTCAGAAGAAAATCTCATCGGAGATTTTAATCTTCTATATTAGGAAGTAGCCAGAATTTTTAAGTGAAATTACAAAGTAAAGGTTAATTTGCCTTTAAACAGCAAAATTAATAAATTTTTACCTCTTATATTATTCAATTCATTTTATTTTATATATTTGTTTCATGAGGACGTTAAAATTCTTTTTCAGACTAAAATTTTAATATATATAAATAAGAAAAGAGATATCGATAATGTCAGAAAGTGTGGACATCGAAAAAATATTTCAAAAATATATGAAGCTTTGAATGGAGAATGGAAAGTCTCCATTCAGCTGTCGTCAGCGTATGTTTTGAGGGAGATTTAAAAAATTTAACATAATTTAAATTAGCTGAAAAAAATAAATAAATAAAGTAAAATACGAAATTGAAATCAAATAGCGGCCAAGTGGTTAAAAACATTGAATATTGGGAGATTGATTCGGGTTCGATCCCAGGTGAACGGATTGGCTGCATGGTTGGTTTTCATGGTTTCCCTCATGTGTAACGTGAATACGAACCACTTTCCCTTCGAAAGCTCTCTACGAAAGCATGCCTTCCCTTAGGCAGATGGCTATCGTGTGCTTTATCGTATTCAAATAAGCTAACATTATTCCCCTCTTGAGTCTGTCACTGAAGTACTATTTTTGCCCTTAATTTAAATGATGCCTTTGATTCAAAAACAATGAATATTGATCATTCTCAGAAACCATATTATGATAACTTTCAAGAACACTATTCCGGTAATCTAACGTAACTACAAAAGTCAAAATTGCTAATAAGTTGGAAGCAAACTCATAAATCGAAAAAAAATAAGGATGAATATAAGATTGATTCACCCAGAAAGGGGGCTGACTTAACTAAATTAAAAGGCAACAGAAATTATGCGAATAAACACTGCCGGTCTGACACAGAGCGAGCATGCGCATCGTAGACTTTAAAAGTGGGTAATGATTTTGGGCTATGAGTTCTGTGTGCTGAAGGGGCTACTGTGATGTCAGCAGACTGGAGCATTTTTAGCCTGTTGCCTTTTTCCCATCTTCAAGTGGGCGATGCTAATGGAGAAGGAGAAAGCTGTTGATCTTGAGTAGAAGAAATACTTTTTACTCGAGAGTCATTTATTTGGGGTATGGTGCATGAAATTAATCCCTACAGGCCATTTTTTTCTGACATTGCTACCAGATGAATTTGAACTTAATTTTCTTATTTATTATTTTTTTAATATAAGAAAATACTTTTCCTCGTGCACCACAGCGTATCACACGAGACTTACAATATGTCAGTAAAGGAAAACACATCAGCTTTAAATAATATAAATAAATCAAACATATATGAATAAAAAAATAAAACAAAAAATAACATACACAGAAAATCATCTGCGTTGTTTAAAATAAGAGTCAAAAAATTCATTAAAAGTAAGATAGGCCAAAGGCAAGAAGAAAAATTCATGACATGTTGGTGGCCAATTAATTTCAGACTACATTTTAATGAATTTCTATAGTTAAGGAAACGGCTATCAACATTAAGTGGAAGACACTTTGCTGAACTTCGAGATCAGAATAGCACAATTTGAAGACGATAGCTTAAAACCGTTCAAGATAAACATTAAACTTTCCATGCCCAGACGAAAATTGCATAACATTAAAATTCGAAACGTTCTTTCCTTAGCCTTTCGATGATAATTGGAAATAACTTTTTTGTAATACCTCCGTGATCAGAAGTGATGTAATCATAATTCCATTATTCAATTATTTTAGCTTTGCATATCCTTTTAAAGTACAATTTTGGAATATTTATATCAACATTAATGTCTTTTTCTAGATTTGTATTCTTGACAAGCCAATCAGCAACAGTTTGAAAACGCAAGGCCTAAATTTAAAATAATACAAAAGGGGGGGAAGTAGAAAAAGAATTAACACTCAAGAATCACGTGATTCACGCATTCAGTCATTCCATTTTTATAAACTGTTAATCCTGCCGAAATTTATGTTGGCAGCGAACAAAAGCTAAGTCACATGCGAGATCGAGTTGAGTTGATAACCACGAACAGCAAATCGGAGAAGTGGGAAGGATCTGATAGAATGAGTCTGAAACCGGTAAATACATGGCCGAACTTGTAGAAAGAATCCTCCAGCATAAGAGGGTGAAAATATTAGCAATTAAAGACGGAAAGTCCGATTTTATGTTAAAGCCGGGAAGTCTGAATTTTATGTGTTAAACTTATAAGGTATTTCTGCCGCCTTCTTAGCATGGCTTCGTGGTGTAGTGGTCAGCACACTCGGTGCGTATACGAGAGGTCCGTGGTTCGAATCCCGGTGAGGGTATTACTTAGTTTCCCAGTTCCTCTCAGCATCAAAAACCTAATAATGTTAAGACAACTCCGATTAACGCGCTTTTGATGTCTACCCAACATATAAGTATTAAATCAGTAATCGAAGAGAAGGCACTAATTTTATGTTGAAAGATCGCAAGACTACCAGACTGTTTTTTCCTGTGGAGTAGCCCTTTGTCATCATCTTCACCGAATCTTAAAGCCCAGTATGGTTTAGGATAAACCTATCAAGTGAGGTTTTTAAGAAAGAAACAAATAAATGACTTAATTGTAAATGCTATAGTCTTGGAGACTATCCATGAATTCTACCCAAATAATGAGTTGCTGCATGCGTTTACAGACGGCTTTAAATGTTGAATGACCGTATCAATGCTGGCGCTGGCGTCTTCTGCAGGCTCTTCTCATTTTATACTCTTGTCGGAAGGTTTAAAATACCCTTTGACGCTGAGATCTCTGTAATTCAAATTACCTTGTCTCAGCTCCAGTGCCAATCTGAAAGGTTTTCAAGAGCTGTTATACTACAAGCTTCTAGGGCTGCGCTCCTGACCATTGCTTCATCTGAAGTTCCTGCTTCAGCTCATATTTTGAATATACGTCTGATCCTAAATGATTTAATCGAAAACTATAAAAAGGTTGGTTTGCAGTGGGTACCAGCACACTGTGGACCTCCAGGGTAATGAAATAGCTGACTCCCTGGCAAAGAAGGCAACAAAAAATTGCCCAAATAACAGATAAAACAATTCCTTTTTATACCGCGAAACTGTTAATTTTAAAAAAATTTAGAGAGGACTACTGGAAAAACAACAAAGGCAAGAAAAGGATTGAGGAAATCACAGATATTCCACTATAGCAAAGGGACAGATCCGTTGCAACTTTTCGCCTCGCTACTGGCTATGATTGCCTCTCCAAGCATCCATATCGTATAAAAATACGGCCAAGTCCTCATTGCCATTTGCGCAACATTCTTGAGGAAATGGACGCGAACCATTTGAGTCACTGCCCTGCACTGGGCTAGGAACACTTGCAGGAGAAATACAGGAGAGCTCGGCACAAGATGAAGGATTTATAATAGACTTACTGTAGTTTTAGTTTTATTACCTGTTTCATCTGTTTGTAGTTCTGACTATAGTTGTCTAATAATCTGCCACTGGAAATTTTTTAAAAAAAATTATTTTAAAAACCACTCGGGCGATTTTTGTGAAACTTGGCACTTAGGCAGAGTTTGAGGAGAAGAATCGAAATATGCGAAAAAATGGTATTTCATTAAAAAAGTCCGATATTTTGTCAAAATACGTATGTTAGAACAATGCTATATACAAATCTAATATATATCCTATGTCGCGGTTTCAAGACGTGAGAAACGTAAGTTAAATTCGGCCCAATAAAATGGAAAATATAGAGTCTTTTTTTGTTTGTTTGTTTTGTTTTGACTCGGTGTATAGAATGACATCTACATACTATGTCATAGGCTTGGAAAGTTTCATTTGGTCATAAACATAGCATTCTGAGATACTATTTTACACGGTATCGGAACTTTAACAAGTGAAACTCTATCAGGCGTTATAAAGACTGATATTTATAGAAAATTTAAAAAAAAAAAAAAAAAAACTTACCTCGCGTCGATGGCAAAACAGCGAGCAGAAGCCAGATCCACATCACTTCCTCAGCTCCCACCCTCTTCTTCTGGAAAATGAGGAAAGCAATTTTTCTATAAATTGATAGTTTTCTAAGCAATAAAAACAAATAGTATATTTAAAAATTCACAGTTCAAAGTTCCGGAACATACATGCATGAATGCAATGCCCATATGACAGCTTTTTAAGACTTAACTGCCATTTTAAATTCCGAAAAATAAGCGCGTTTGGAAATGTTCAAATGTTCTTTTATGCACAAAAAATTCGTTACGTAGGTTTACCTAGCATCTGAATACACGGTTTCTTAACAGCTACTGTTTTATAATATATTCTAAGCCCCATACATTCATACAACTTCAGTTTCACATAAATACCTGTAGGAAAATTTAAATAAATAAATGAAATGATGCTATTAATTAAATTTGCCAAATTTTTACTAATACTTTTACTATTGTAGAAGGCATCCTGTTAATGAAGACTTATGCCTTTTGTAAGAGATTAATTCTTGGTGCAGTAGTCCGTTCACTTCCCACAATATCTTACTTAATATTGTAGCTTTTTCCTTCTGTTACCATTTTGTTATCTTTTTTAAAGTGATGGGAGCGAGAATACAATGCATAGCTAGGGTTGTTCTCCTATTTTTATATAATACTGAATAAGATGTAAACAAATATAGAGCTGAAATATAAGAATTATATTACATATATATAGGTAAGGTAAAAAATATGAAAGCAAACTTATAAATTTAATTTGCTATAACTTGTTTTATTTTTTATTTAATTTGAGGACTTTCTCTTTCTGTCTTAGAAAATAGCGCCACTAAAAAGTCATTCAAATTAATCATGCGTTAAAGTCTAAACTGCGTCATTCAAATTAATCATGCGATCTTATGTAACGCTTAATGCAGACACCTCTTTCGCAATCAAAATAATTGTAAACCAAAACTTTGTGACCCTCCCTTCTTCCTCTGCATTACTACTGCGACACCCTTTCACTTTCGCTTACACTTTCGTCCTGTCAAAACGCTGCTGAAGTCATTTATGTTCGCTTCTATCGCAATAGTATCAAAATTGTTCTGGAAATAGGCACGACTGGAGTGAATTGTGGCCACAACTGTGAATTTATATAAAAGAAAAAGGAATTTAATCCAGCTCGACTCGTTCCTCTTCAATATGGGTCAAGTATCTACGCCATCAATATTTCTGCGCATCTACGTATCAGTGTTTCCAAAACTGTGTTATTATTACATATATATAGGTCCAAACTACGAGTTTATAGCTATCTCTTTCAATAATTACTCGGGATGAGCAAAACGAAATTGACAGTTCATTGTAAATGATAATGACACGTAGCAATGTCTTTTATACATTATTTACGGTTAAAAACTGTATTTGTGAGTATTTCCTCTTCTAAGAACTAAATACTATAAAATGCTAAATGTAATTTATAACTGAACCATACTTCAATTAAGAAATTGCAATCTTTCTAGTTTGCATACATTTTTAAAACGCAAAATGTGACGTGATGTATGTCACTAGGTCAGTCAATCAGATGCATAAAATTAGCAATATTATGGATATAATATTAAAAACAATTTAGTGTTGCGGCCTGCCAATGGAAAAGCGATAAGTCGCTAAAACGTGGGTTCTCTTTCTTCAAAAGTGGTTTCCCTTAAAAACGCTTCTACAAAGCCATCTTCCTATCTGGAGTATAACCCTGTGTGCATAGTGATTATCCAAATTTCAAAAAATTCAGAGACGTAAATGCTTTCTTATCGAGCTTGTATTAGCATTGCTATCTTGTATAGAATTATACTGTAGTAAAGATTTCCACAGATTAAATTATTTTTAACCCATAACAGAAGAACTAAACTCGTCCGGCTAAACGCCGTAGGAAGGTTTCAATTTTGCTCTTTCAAAAGTGGATGGACCGGCTAAAAGTCGGGCATCTAACAACCCTAACCATATTTCTGATGATTCGACACACTATCGTCGTTGTCACCTTCTTTAAGTTTTGTAGTGTTCATCTTTAATTCAGCATCTCTTTTCAGTTTTGATAATTGAAACTAGACGGCAGAAAGGTTATTTTTGTTTGTATGGACTATGTTGTTCCTATGCGATTATTTATTTCAATGTTATTTTAGCTTTTGAAGAGAAGTTTAGTACGATTTGATACGTTTCTTAAGGTCTGAAAAAGCTCAAAGGTATTTTCTTTATAAATTATAAATTAATAGTAATTGCTTCTTCTCTTTAAAACATTTCGACTTGCGAAAGGCTGCAAAGGAACACTTTGCTTTTGGAAAATGGGGAGAGAGGAATAAATGTAACTTTGTATAGCATTTTTCTAGCCGTGCAACCATTTTGAAATCCCCTTCCTAGCCCAAATCGTTACTTTAAAGCACCATTAGCTCTATTTATTTGGTTAAGAAATACTCGTTTTTCACATTCTAAAAGATAGCCAGAGCTCATTCTCTGCATTTCTCATTTGGTAAAATTTAATTAATGTCTCCAGTTTTTCTCAGTTTTCCTTTATACTTTCCCAGTCTCTCACATCACAAATTCTGCTTACATGATGTAATGTTCTAAAGATGTAATGGCTATACAGATATTAAAACTTTAATGACCAGCAGTATTAGTGTGACACTAGGCCTCTTATAGGGAACATAATAATTTCTCAGAATTGCAAGTAATTAATTGAGAAAATTTTGTCTCTTTCCTCTGATTACAAATAGGGAAAACGAAACAAACTCAATCCTTCAGTTTTAGCATAGGTGCTCATCCCTTACTTAAAGTAATGATAAGACTTTAATAAAATATCTCTTACATCTAGTTAAAAAGTTTTTTCAGTGTTTGTCTGCAATAGCTTTGATGTCTCAGCTGCAAAAATTGTCTAGATGAATTTGTTTCATAACAGTAAATACGAATGCGACTGAATTGCTTAATGTCAGCATAATCACATAATTCTTATGCAAAGCAAAAGCCCCCATGTACTTACATAATGGGAAAAATGAAAGTAAAATTTTTTAAGGAATTGAAATCAAACCCAAAGTTTTATTAACCAGAAGAAATATTCCCTCTCTTGAAAACTGAAGTAATTTCCATTGCTCTTAACCCAGCGTCAATAACATAACCTTGCTGTTTTCATACATGCCTTTAAACTGTTAACACGTAGTCTGTCACATCGTTTCTACGCCAGTCACCGTTCTGTGATTAAATTAAAAGTGCATCCGTTAATTACTGAAAAACGGACACCCTTCTTGCGGCCGGGTTAAGTATATTTGCGATTTACGTCTTTAATACTAGGCCAAAAAATAAATAATGATTAGGACGGCCATGTCTTCAACTGCGTCTTTTATGCACCAGCCTTTAGTATCATCATTTTAAACGTTGGACATAAAATTTTTATCACACCTGTCCGGTAGAGTTATTGTGAAGGAGAGACTTCTTGATCGCCCGACTAAAACAATTTTAACTTTTATTAAAGTGTATGACTTCAGCATTCAGAGTAAAATTTCATTTATGTCTGAAAATTCAGTGCTTAATATTAAGAAGGGAAAGCAGAAAAATATAGTCTACTAATTAGTTCAAGTGCTTCTAAAGATGCAACATACCAGTAATTCAAAGTTTATTAATTTATTAGGGTTTACGAATTTCTAAAATTTTGTGTTGCTTTTAAACAATTATACACGTTTAATTGCCTGTTTTTCAACAGAAAAGTACCCAGGATCTTTATCTTCGCCCACAACTCTCTAAATCGCTATTTATAGGGGTACTTATTAGATAGAAATTACGTAAAATAAAATAATGAATTTAAGACTACAAAAACTTTTGGAACTGGAAACATACATAAGAAGATCGACAGTAAAATATCACTAGTATATGAATCAAATAAGGAGATCTGGGGAATAGTAATAAGAAAAAGTAAAAAAAAAAGTATAAAATAAATGCAAAAAATAAGTGATAATAGAAACTGTGTGCAATGCACTCTCTCATTGAGGGGAGGGGCGACGTGTTACATACAATTTACCATTACTAGGCCCATTTCTGTGCATACAGCTATAGCTTATGTAATTTAGGAAAAAGTGAAAATTATCATGTATGTCAGTATGCGGTTAAAAACTGTGCACCGTTTCTTTATGTGAATTTTCAAAATGGTGAAAAATGAAAAATATGAATGAAAATTTCAAATGAAAAACTATAAGTGAATGTACGGCTCTGAATAATCGCAAATAGCTATAAGGTTTCTTAACTAAATAGAAAAAGAACCACAAATGGGCCGATGAAACTGCAAAAGCCATATCCACTTTAACGCAGCGAATAATAACAGTCTGACATTTTCAAAAGATTTTTTTTTTAATTTTGAAAACTGCATTTGAAAAAAAGGAAATAAGTTGCAGACATAACTGGCCACATATCCTTTTAATCTTTAAACAATATTCTAGGCAAGAAATCAAAAAAAAAAAAAAAAAGAAAAAATCTATTATGAAATTGCATAATCCACGCTTGTTAAAAAGGCCGTTCTATTACAATGACCAGTGGGAAAGGCCTACAACTGATGAGAGTCTATATTAGGTCAATATTCGCAACGACTTATCATTAGTTATAATGTACCTTTTCTTTTATGCGATATAAGAAGTTCAAATATATTTACATCATAACCTTATGAATCATATCGAATAAGATTTCATTACCAGGTTAAAAAATTAAGTAAGCAAAGAGACTTAAGTATTGTTTCCTAAAAATTGTATGCACAAAAACTATTATTGAAATCAATTTGCGTCAGAAGTCAAGTCTTAAAAGCTGAAAAAAAACTGCGAAAGTACGAAACGTAATAGAAAGGAAGAAGAGAGATTTTAATTCTTTTTAAAATTTTTCTTCTAATGTGAATCATTAGCATGAGATATATGTAAATAAATTAATTTTATAACCCCGTAGAAATAATAATTTTTACATCAGTCATCTCACTCTTCGTATTTGCGAGAAAATTTGACATGTGGTGGGAACATAAAATCATTTCCTAAAACTGGGAATTGCAGTGAACTTCAGGGGTCTTGACTTCCTGTACCTTCATTTTTGTCACCTGGTAGGCTCAAGAAATTCAAAATTTGTTTTCACAATGAATCCGTATTTAAAGTTCGGGTATATACAACACTAAATTCAACTGTTTTGTCTGCTTCCAACGACCCCTAGCTGCGTCATATATATGTATGAGGCAGACAGTCATATATATGTGTATATGAATATATATGTATATATATGAGGCAGGAACATATATATATATATATATGTGTGTGTGTGTGTGTGTGTGTGTGTATGTATGAGGCCCTTAAAAACGTAGAAGACGGATTATAGTTTAGCAACACATTCAAAGGCCCCCTAAGCCTTCGGGCCCCTATGCAGTGGCATTCCTTGCATACCCTTATTTGCGCCACTGAATACACAAGTGCAGTGGTGGGTGACCCGCTGTTCCACAGTTGCAAATAAAGCTTCACATAATTATAATTGGAGATAAAATGGCAATAAAAAAAAGGAAATGCGGCTGACGACATGAGCAACAGACAGAAGCTACAAAAGGAATACTAAGTTTCTAACACGAAGGCCTATCTCGGAATGATTCACTTTTGATTAAATTTTATCCCTATGTCTATTAAGATTTCAGCTCGCAAATTGTAGTACTATCATTGGCTGAAGCACTACATAAGTACCTGTGATATTAGTGTAATGTAAGAGTTATGTGAGAAAGACTATTAAGAAATGACGCAGTTTAGAAATATTTACCGTTAACAGATACTCTTTTTAAGACGGAAAGAAGAAATAGCCAAATTAAAAAAAGTACTGAAGGAATTATTGCAAATTAATGTTAGAATTTTGTTTTTACATTTTCTTCATCTTACGTAAACATGCATATATATATACAAACATGTGTGCGTGTGTATTAAAACTTTTCTTGGGAGCTGGAACGTATATGTCTCCTGCATTAAACAAGGCACAAAATTTTCCTTTATATGGAGATTTAAAACTTGCTACTTAATGGGGAGCCAGAAACAGCATACCCTGTTGACTTGTTTTTCTGTTCCTTGTTGATTAAATGGCTTAAAAACATAAAGAATTAGTCTCTATAGCCCACGTGAAAAGGTTTTAAAGTAAGTTTAATATCGTGATCTTCCTTCAAGCCTTTCTAAAACTCGGTGCGTTTGCTATGTTTAGAACCCAAGGCCACGGGCCAGATTCCGCTTACCTATTGAGCTCATTTTCTCTACCAAATTAGATAATTCGATTTTGACGACGTTATAAAACGGACTTTATCGTTCCAAGTTACACTTAGTTTCCTGATAGAATGTGTCTTTCCTTGAGAAATAATAATAATAACTGAGCTACAAATCTGAAGCTCTTTTATTTTCATGTAAAGTTCAATATTAGAGTAATCAGTCTGTAATGTATTTGACGTATTTATGAAGTACTACAGATTTGATTTTTCTGTAGACTTTAATACAATTTAAGCTCATTTCTTTCCCCTCAAATGTATCTTTTAGTTACCAAAATAATTGTTTCTGCTAATGAGTAAAGGTTTCTAAGACAACGCAATTTATGCGAGGTAGATGTAAAACATTTATGCTGATTACATCATCGATCCACAGTTGCGCGTAAGAAAGTGACTGGAGAAGTCTTAGAAGCAACTTCGACTCAAACTTAGCAGAATAATTACTCAAACAAAAATTTGACCCTAGAATGCACTGTGTGAAATTTTACTTTTGCTGTACCTCATGGTATATATGTTACACTGCGACACGATGATAAAAGTTATTTTCTATCAAAATAACTAGTAAATTCCTTTTCTGTCTGTTATGTCAAAGAAATAAATGAACAACTGTATATGATTAGAAATGCAAAGCATGTTTCTTACTTTTCTTTTTCTAGTAATATAAATTGCTTTTCGCTCTCGGTACCATAGTATAAACATTTTCAAATAAAAACTATTTTCTCATAGTAAAGTATTTTTTTGCGAAAAAGGGAATTCAAAAGAATACCGTAAATTTTACACATTTTAGTTATTCCAAGCAACTATTTATTTTAACATAGTAACCGCATACAAGATAATGAATTCTCCTGAACAAAACAAAACAAAACAAAACACAAAAAAAAAAAAAACAGAAAAATGAATTTTACTCACTTTACCAGAAGTACCAACCCGTTAATATACCAGATTATTTGTATGCTAGAAAATATGCTTAAGTTAATCATCGATAGTTCTAGTAATCACGTACCAGATGAGTGAGTGGTCAGATGGAAATGTTTGAAATTTAATATATAATTATTGCTCATTGAACTAAATATATTTTCTAATTCAATTAAAGTCTTTTCTACTTTAAATGTATAGCATATTCCTTTCATTTCCATTAAAATTTTTATTATATTCTTTTTCTTAGGTGGTTCATAATTTTAAGCAATTTATGTCTTCAACCCTTTCGGTGATTTAATTTTGTTTAGAAAATTAAGAAAATTACTCGCACTTTTTATGTACTTTGATTTTTGTCCCTCCACACATTTAAAACAATAACTATATATAGACTATTATCGTGCTGCTCATAATAGTTATATATTATTTGAAATACGTAATTATAATGCACACAAAAATTTATCTGTTAATTCAGTTTCAATTAATAAAAATCAGAACTAAATTTCAATCTAACTCAAAATTCCAACTTTGTGCATTCTAGTGTCGAAATTATGTCATTTTACTACGCATATATGTATCTTGCTACAGATGAATGTATAAATCACACAACTTAATAAAAGCTATCTATATAACGAACGGTTACCATTTTACAGTATGGTTTATTCCACAGTTCAACAAAAGTATGTTCAAAGAATTGTTGTAAGTGCAACTTACATGCTAATTTCAAAAAAAAAAAAAAAAATTATGTCAATCTATTTCCTTCGGCATATAAAACTTCAATCAACATTCAGGCATGTTACTCAGACACTATATTCATCAACATAAATATATAAACAGAAACATTTACATTAAAATAGCAATGTAATTTAAAAGAGTTAAGGATAACAAATAAAGAGGAAAAATAATAATTATTATTATTATTAACACCACAAATTGCAGAAAGAAAGTTTTAAGAGTTCTAACACAGCAATTATTAATCAGAAATATCATTTAGCATTGAAAATGTAGATCAACATTTTATCGATATTACTAATACAAAAGGATAAGTGAAACAACAACGAATAAAAAAACAGCAGTAATAGAAACAAAACTCATAATAATTTTTTTCCCCCTAAGAAACCGACACATAAAACGTGTGAAATTCACATTTACTCACCGTTCCCTTTCGAGACGCTCATTGCCACCGCTGTGAAGCTTGGGCTACCAGGTAGACCTAATAGCGTTGTCGATCGATTCACAATGACTCACAGGTAGAGGCCCAGCTGCTACGTGACGTCACAGAAGAGAGGATAAGAGCCCTTGTGGGTCTAGTCCCCAAATCAGAGGGTACGACGTTTTGCACAGTTGGAACACGAATATGTCAGTAGTCCAAGCTTAACGATGGCAATGAAAATCAAAAATAATATGTAATTACAAAAGTTTCGTGCACTCTTAAAACTAAAGATGCAAGTTTTTTATGCCCACGGTAGATGTTTTATTATTAATTCCTAAGAAATCATGCTATTACTAACATATCTCACACTAGGAACGGCCTGGTTTCGGCTCAGTAAGGAAACGTTTCGTGGTGTTTATTGTAACTTTTCAGATAAACAAATTTTACAGTTAATCCGTAAAATGACAGTAAAACGACTACGTCTGCTTGCAGCAAGATGCGGCTGCTAGAAGCTCTGATCTAAACATTCAAACTTCAGCTTAAATACACAAAACAAATAATTTGCATTTTAATGAAAACTATGGAAACGAGAACTAATAATAACGGCTTCAGTCAGTATAATTTATTAACTAACATAAAATACATTATAACAATATTTCACCATTACGACTGAATTATGTAATGAAAATAATTACGATAATTTAAAATTTAAGGCAAAAAATTTCGAATATATCTTACCTGAATAGGAATGCCCTAATGTTATCACTTCTTGTACATGATGTAATGTTACAATAACATTTTTATATATGATGTTATGTTAATAATCTTTTATATTTTTATACATCATGTTATCCTTTTTTATACATCATGTTATCCTTTTTTATACATCATGTTATCCTTTTTTATACATCATGCGCTTATATTATATTGTTTTCAAATATGTATATACCTTATATATTTCAACATTAAGATTGAACTAAGTAATAAAAGTAATGATGATAATTTAAAATTTAATGCAAAAAATTTTGAATATATCTTATCTGAATTGGAATGCTATCATGTCTTTATTTTTATTTCTTCTTTTGAAAAAGAGATCTATATATTTAAATATCAATATTTCTTTATTATTACGGTTCTTACCTTCTTGCTTTAGTAAACAAATATGTTGCCGTTTGGAATTATTCAGCGTACTTCAAACAAATTTATTTCATTAAAGTGCAGGTTAGTATTAAGAACATTTTTAAGTTTACTCCCGAGAAATTCTTTGAAAATTTCTTGCGATTCGCAGACAATTTTCATCCACTCTTTTGGGAATGCATAAGGAGTCCTATGCTTATTATTTTTTATCCAATCCGTTTGTTGCGCCCACCAGTGGCCGAGCGGTAAAATCGCTGAACACTGGTAGTTCGGTCCGAGGTTCGAATCCCGCGAAACGGGCATGGGTGTTTTCGTAGTTTTATCCATGTGTAACGTGTATACGAGCCAGTTTCCCTTAGAAAGTCCTCCACGAAGGTTGGTTTTTTTTTTTGGTTTTATTAGATTACGGCAAAGCACTCGAGGGCTATCTGCCTTAAGGGAGGGATGCCTTCGTGGAGGACTTTCTAAGGGAAACTGGCTCGTATACACGTTACACATGGGGAAACCACGAAAACGCCGATGCAGCCAGCCCGTTCACGGGATTCGAACCTCGGACCGAACTACCAGTGTTCAGCGACGTTAACCGCTCGGCCGCTAGTGGGCCCCTCCACGAAGGCATCCCTCCCCTTAGGCAGATAGCCCTAGTGCGCTTTGCCATAATTAAATACACACACACACCAATCCACTTGTTACTGTCAAACAAATCCTATGGTTCAATAATTTTCTTTTCAATAAAAAAAAGGACAAACTCTTTTTCAAAATTTAATGTGCGATGTATCCAGTGGCATGGCGCAGTCTTGATGCGATACTAAATTGTGACAGATTTGCAGAACTATCATTTACTGTCAGTTATATATCCCGTTCTTCTTTATCACTGAGAAGAATAGTACTCATTTTCAAAATATAGGAGGAGATGAAAACAGTGCCGTAGAAAGAATCTATGAAACTTGTGATTCTGGCTCCGGTATTACGTAAAAAAATCAACTTGATGAGTAACTACTAGAAAGTAATTCATATTTATTTAAAATTTTAAAGATGTGCTCTTTTAACAAATAACGGGGAAAAATTATTATTCACAGCTGAATATATTTCATTATAAAAGTAAATTTTATACTACAAAATATTTTTGCGAAAATGGTTTTCCATCTTATTATTTTAACATAAATTTTTAGATTTTTTTTTACTTGATATTTATTTTGACTTGTGAACCTTGTGTGTAAATAAAGAACTGGCATCAGAGTCAAGCTTCTTAAGATTTTATTTTAAAAAAGGGAGAGGGTGAAGTGGGTTTTGGTGATTTTCACAGAAGCTTGATTCTTTTTGTTCATTATTGTTATCATTATCATTGTCAATAAGTGCCAGGGGGGACTTTATTTAAAAAAAAAAAAGAATTTGTAAAAAAAAGGAAGATACATATATATTCCATTTTACAGATATGTAACTAAAAGCGCCCGGATATTAAAATCATATGCATTTAAGACGGCGCTTCTACATTCGTAATGAGCGTATTTTATCTGCATATATTTATAGAGGAAATATGGTGTTAAATATATGTATGAATAGATGTGAAAATGTGTGTAGATCAGTGCTTAAATTGCGCCGGAGCCCACCAGAGGTCGGCTCCGGTACTTCTCAATTTTTAAGATAAATTGCAATTCTAGCCGGAGCGCACCGGAGCCCTAAATAACATGAGCTCCGGTACTTCTTTTTATAAAACTGAACCATAATTTCAAGAAAAAAAAATTTAGAACTCCTAACGTTTTAGTTTAACAATAAGCAGACTTTGCAATACTGTATTTCCCTAGAAATACGAACTCATGAGAACATGAGACGTTCAAGTAAAGTTCCCCCACTCACATGCGGAAACCTTTCCCTTTAAGAAGGGCAATAAATTTGGGGAAGTTTGTTTAGGAACGCGTAAATTTCTCGCCATGCCATCGTACCTAGTGTATTGTTGTCGATGGTTACAGTTAGTTATCCTCGCAAGAAGGACAATTTGAGTTCTTAAATGGGCGTTAAGTGACAGAAAGTACAATAGGTGTGTTTACTGAGATAAACTGCTCAAGCACGTCCTATACATCGTATTCCCACAGAATCCACTAATGTAACCAAATACGGGGGGGGACGAAAAGCCTAACCAGCAACTTTACATTCATCCTTTAGGAGTCAGATTCAGGACTCATTTTCCCCTGACACACATCCGCTTGACGGCTATAATTATATCAGCAAAGAGCCGCGATCAAAGAAAACGTTCTCTCTCACCAAGATTTCCCTCATGTTTTGTTTCCACCTACTCATACCCTTTCATTCTGTTTCATTCTGTTTTTAGCATTATCTGAATTTTCCTCAGCTATATTTTAAGTATATTTAATTTTTGTGATGATAAAAGAACTTTTTCTCCCTACGATCAGAACTTAAATTGCGACGGATCCCGGCTCCGGTGCTTCTTAGCTTTTGTAATAAATCATAATTCTAGCTTCAGCGCACCGAAGCCCTAAATAAGAAGGCTGCAGCATTTCCTTTTTATATAATTGAATAACAATTTCAGTAGAAATTTTATCTCGAAAATATTATTCTTAGCAATAAAATGGCTTATTAAATTTTAATTTATCTCTTTACATTTAATTTAATTTTAATCAGTTAATTACTTTAATCTTTATTATTTCAATAAATAATTATTTAATTCTAATATTATCAATTAAATTATATTAATTAATTATATAATAATTATTGATTAAATAACAATTTATAAACATTAATTAATTTGATAATAATTAACTATTAATTTAAAATTATTATGAGTTTAATACTCATTTTATTTATTTATTTACTCTTGTTTCTCTTTGCTGACGGTCTTCCATAGTGCTCCGGCACTTCTAATTTTAGAAATTAAGCCCGGGTGTAGACTTTACGAAAAATACGCGTATAAATGCAGTAGTAGATTTAGTAAGAAAGCAGTTGATTTACACAATGTTTTCCTCCAAAAATGAGCGTCTATCCATACTAAAAAGTACAGAAGATTTGCGTGAACTTTTACACAAATTATACATATATGCGAAGCAAAGAAAGGGGAAAATTAAATTTCTACCATTAAAAGAAAACTTTCATGCTTAATAAAACATCTACCATCATTGCAATCATCTACAATTTATGCTCAATAAAAGAATTGGACGCATTTATGTAAAATTTACTAAAAAATTTTAGTAAGAATTTTTACCGTGTGAATTTTTGCTAAACATTTATGTACATGGAAAGTGCAAAATTTGGAAAATTTACATATATGCGATAAATATAAGTAAAGTATTACCAAACATATACCTAAAAGATACGAATAAAGCACGATCATTCCTATGAGTATACCTAAATTTAACGTAGAACTTATGTGTATTGTAAAGTAAAAACATACGCAAAAATCTACTGTTTTCCCGGACACATTTTATGATACTTTTGTGTTCTTTAAATTGCGCGTATTTTTTGCTGCATTTCACAAATGCCTGCGTCCTGGGAACTGACTCGAACCAATGAAAACGCCCATGCAGTCAATTCCATTCGCACAGAATCGAAACTAGATCGAGCAACCAGCGCTCAGCGACTAACTTTCAGCCGCTGGTGTGCCCGCCGATCTTTCGATTTTATTTATTTATTTAACTGACGTTTTGCTTGTCACTTATGTCATTCTGCTTTCTTCTTGAATTTTTGGCAAATTTATAGAAATTACTGCTGCTTCTTTTAAAATTATACGAAACGATACTCCTCCATCTTTCTGATAATCTTCACTTTTAAAATACATTAAGAAAGGTCGCATTTTCAGTTTTAAACTCATCTGCTCTTTAGCAAACAGCTATCTAGAGGTTTTGTTTATTTGTTTTCCAGAAACCTCTAATAACTTCTTTCCATTCAGTACTTCGCCCACTAGGGTCCGAGAGGTAAAGTCGCTG